CATCTACTGTATACCTTCTGGCTCAAAAGCCTCAGTAAAATTATTCTCTCCTTCTGGAAAAATCAATAAGCTATTTACTCGTCTTTAATTAAGCACTGAGGTACCGCAAGGTTCTGTGTTATGCCCAGTAATCTTCAATATCTTCATAAATGACTTAGATGAGGGAATAGAAGGGGGACTCATCAAATTTGCAGATGACACCAAACTGGCAGGAGTAGCCAACACCCCAGAAGACAAGCTCAGGATCCAAAAAGATCTGGACAGACTTGAACAATGGGCCCATCCGTGCCACAGTGCATAAAACTGGCCTAATCAGAGCCTGCTTTGGTTTTCTCTGCTTTGCCTTATAAAATTTAATATTTGCTATCCTTGATTTTGGCTTCCTTTGTTTCAGAACAGAACCTTCTTTGTTTCACATTTAAACTTTAGCTTCTGGTTGACCTAGAACCCAACGGTACTTAAACTCCAACTAGGACAGAATAATTATTAGGTTATCATTATTATCACCACTGGCCAACTAGCCAAATATCCAACAGAAGCTATGAAAACAACTGTTTCAGAGCTCCAGGCAGGGAATTTGGAAATCTGAATAACAGAATAACAGAGTTGGAATGAATCTTAGAGGTCTTCTAGTCCAATCTCCTTCTCAAGCAGGAGGCTCTTCCAGACAAATAGCTATCCAATCTCTCTTAAAAACCTCCAGTGATGGAGTACCCACAACTTCTGAAGACGGGACATTCTACTTCCGTATTCTATCCATGAGCTGCAGGAGTTGCCATTGCAGAAAATGACAGATTCATGCTTCATGCTAGACCAGTGGTTCTCAACCTGTGGGTCGGGACCCCATTTGGGGTCGATCGACCATTTCATGGGGGTCGCCAAGCAAGGCTGTCCGCCATTTTTTTTGTCCGCCATTTTTTTTGTCCGCCATTTTTTTCTCCTTTTCTGGCGGGTGCCTTACCTCCCTTGAGCTGGGCCAGCTGGTGGTCGGCCTGCTCCGTCTCCGCCGCTTGCCAGCTACGCCTCAGCCGGCGCAGGGGGCGGAACCATGCATGCGCAGCGCTCCCGGGCAGGGAAAGTCTTCGACTTACGACCGGTTGGGTAGTCCTCGACTTACGACCAGTTTAGTCCTCGACTTACGACCGGTTTAGTCCTCGACTTACGACCGGTTGGGGTCGCGGCATTAAAAAGGTTGAGAACCACTGTGCTAGACTATAGCATAGAGTCTTTCTTGTTAATCTGATCTGACCCATGATGGCTTATCAAGATGTGTGACCCCAGACATTATGCCTTAACGAAACATGACTTTAAAAAAAATCCTGGTTTTACATTAAGTGTGAACCTATGCTATTTTAAAAAAAAATTCTATGCCACTGATTTCACAAATGAGCTTTTTACATGTCATAAACATTTACAGCCAAAGTAACAGTGGTGGGATTCAGCCGGTTCACCACTTTGGCAGAACCGGTAGCTAATTTTTGGTTGCCCAGGTCCAGAATGGACTTCTGGAAGTGGCATCCACACAGAGAACTGGTTGTTCACATATTTGAATCCCATGACTGCAAAGTAGCATTTCTCAAATTTGGAAGGGAATTTGAACATTCTTATTTTTTAGTATTTAATCCCAAACCTGTACCTAAACAATGTCAGCTGACTAATATCAGTTTCTTACTGTTCTTCTAGCCACAATGTTGATCAGTTTTTAAGGTCTGCTAATGTTATCTCCGAGCTTCTCTGATGCTCAAGTTGGAAAACTAAAGTTTTGGGGACAATAGTGTGGGAAGTCAGCCCCTCAGAGAAGGAAATATTAAAAGGGCAGAAAAATATATTTCCTCAAAGGATCTTAAAGAGGCAGAAAAGCATGCCCAGTTTTTTCTTAATAGCCCCAAGTCTCCCTCCCCCAAGCAGAAACCAGCTCTGTAGAAATGCAGATGTAAACCATCCAGGAAGGTTGGAGGCCCCCAGCTAGAAGATTAAGAAGACAAAGACACCTAAAATCTACATACCCCACCCAAACTCTAAGACAGGACATAATAGGATTAACCCATAGATTCCAAAGGAACACAGGTCAAAATACATGACACAGAAAATACAAAGCCTCAAACAGGAACAGGAAACCACTCCAAACAAAAGGCTCCAGAGGGTATAAAAACCCACTCCCTACATGTGCTCTCTCTCTTTTCTTCCAGAGCCATCTTCCTGTCTGGCTCTCCTCTTCAATAAACTGCAACCTTCTTTCTAAAGCAGTCGCCATGTTGTTTATCCCCAGCTTGGACTGAACCATGATGAAGACTTTTCCTTCAACAATAGTACAAGATTGCTAACTGAACAGGAAGATATCTGAAAAAAAGAAATATTGCAAGTTCTTTTTCATAGCTTACGTCAGTGGGTGAATCTACTGCAGCATACATAATTTCCATCCAGCCTTTAAATGTTGCCTGGAAAAAATAAATGGAGATATTATTAAGCCAAATTATTAAAGTTTTCTATGCTTTTTCTCCTTTATTTGTCTAATAGACTTTACTGTGTTCTCACAATCATTACAACCTTTCCCCAGTCTGCCACTACAGGACCTCTTCTGCACTTAAAATAAAATCCATTTGCTTCTTTTTCTTCAGAAATATATAAAATCCTTATTAGGTGCAGATAATAAGCATTCAATTTTCTTGGACAAAACATAGAAATATAAAATAATGGAGCTACATTTCCTACACCTTACTGTATTTTTATTTTATTCCCATAGTTTATTTATTATGCTGTCACTTTAAGCATCTAATTGTCTTGTCTTATTCACTTCAAATATTACAATTGGATAGAGGATTTGAATTTGAAATGAAAGATCACAGAAAATTAAGAAGGGAAGACAGTATTCACTTCCCTTGATCCATCTGCCTCTTTCGATGTCCAAAACATGAAGGAAATAGAGACATAGACTTAGTTCTCTCATCCCACCTGGTTGACAGGAGGAATAATTAAAAGAGAATCATGCTTTGCCTGATATGTAAAAGAAAAAACAAACAAACAGATGACCAATTTTTGCTTAAGGCAGTAAGACTCAATTCCTTTTTTATTAGATAAAGTTGTCTATATTTTTACTGCTAAAGTTAAAGGAATTAATTACGACTGTTACTAATTTTATTTATAATATACCTACAAGATTCATTTCTCTGTTTTATGAAATACTGGGTTTAGATAACTATAGAACCCATTATTGCTGCTACTAACCATAATCAACCTACTGTCCTGCCCTGCAGTGTGAACACAAAGGATTACATTTGGACTTTGTGTGTAGCACGAAGATATTTTGTCTTTTTCGTTCTTTTCCCAGCACAGGCTTTTTTTTAAAGCTCTCCTCAAAGCTTTTTCTTTCTCAGCAAATTTCCCCACAAATTAACTTTCAACAAGCTGCTATTAATAACATATTCTGGCTGTACCTGTGCACCTTACAAAAGATATTTAATATCCATTGTATTAAACATACCACCTGAAGGAGAGCCAGATACCCGTTCCCAACATGATCAAAGTTGATAGGGTTGTTAACACAATTATTCTTAGTTTCAAATTTCCAGCATGAAAATTTCCCTCCAAACAGCTGCACTCCCAAGATATTAAAGGGAAGCCAGAGTACAATGCAGACAAGAAGCACATTTCCAATGGAAGGGATGGCGCCGGCAAGGGCGTTCACAACAACCTTAAAGAAAGGGGAAAAAATGGAGGTACACAATCAACTCCCATTGCAAGGATACATAGTACAGGTAGTCCTTGATTTACGACCAGATTGAGCTCAGAATTTACGTTGCTAAGTGAGAAATTTGTAAAATGAGTTTTGCCCCATTTGATGACTTTTCTTGCCATGTTTGTTAAGTGAATCATGGCGGTTGTTAAATTAGCAACACCGTTGTTAAGTGAATCTGGCTTCCCCATTGACTTTGTTTGTCAGAAGGTCGCAAAAGGGGATCACATGATCCTGGGACACTGCAATTATCATGTAAATATGAGTCCAGTGGCCAAACGTCTGAATTTTGATCACGTGACCGTGGGGATGCTTCAACAACCGTAGGTATGAAAAGCGGTCACTTTTTTCAGTGCTGGTCACTGAAATGGTCACTAAATGAACTGTTGTAAGTCGAGGACTACCTGTAGTACGAACAAATGAGTATTCTTGAAGTTCACACATCTTAAAGTTACTAAGGTTGAGAATATAGCCTCCCTACTTGGAAAAACCTTGGTCCATCCCAAACTGTACATACCAGTGCATTCTAGACCAGCTGAAGTTTCTTTTTTTTAAAAAAATATTTTATTAGTTTTCCAGTTTTACATTTGTGTATTTGGAAGGCAACGTGCTGATTGGGTTAAACGATAGTTCAATAACAAAATCTTTAGTAGGTATCTCAGATTACATCATCAAATATTTCTTCTCTGTTTCCCTTCACATTTGCTAATTCATATTTAAACTAGTAAACTTCTAATTGTATCAAACTCAGTAAAAACTTCATTATCGCATTTATAAATACATTTTTTTGCTTATACATATCTTAATAAATCTCGATAAACAATCCATGTCCTGTTATTAAGCTTACAGCTGAAGTTTCTAAATATTTTCCTTCTCCTTCATTAAAAATCAGGAGAATCTGGGAGAAAAGCAGATGAACTAAAAAAAGAAATACTGTAGAATTCATGAGTTAAAAATTGCAAATCACATCAGACAGAGGCAGGTGCTGTTATATATCCAGAGGACAATTTCCCTCCCCAAACACACCGGGCAGTATTTTGAATAATAAATTCTCAATCCAAAAGCGATGAATGCTAGGTAAAGCAGCATTATTAAAATATATGGCTGAATCTGAATAGGGTAGCAGCAAATATTTTTCATTTTTATCTTCCTTAGACTCTTAAGCATTCGCCAATATTCCTGCAATACTCAAAACAGAATGAGAAGGATCCATGGCTGAAATCAATGTGTCAGTCCTGTTCCTCTGAAATAAAACAAAATATAGTTCCAAAAGACAGGCACACCGTATTTGAACCATAATCTCTGGAAAAGGGAAGGAGGGAGGGAGGGAGGGAAGGAAGGAAGGAAGGAAGGAAGGAAGGAAGGAAGGAAGATTTAATACCTTTATTCCTTTAAATCTAGACAGTGCTCGGAGAGGTCTCAGGGCCCTCAATGTTCTTAAAGATTTTGTGGAGATATTACTATCACACTGTCTAGTCTTTGTTGTACCTCTTGACATAGGCAAAGAAACCTGTGAAAAACAAGAAAAGTACAATTCAGCCACAGAAGACAATCTTGTGATTCTGGTTTACTTTCAAGAAAAACCATGCTAAGTAGCTCAGCAAACATCAACTGTATACCTGTTATAAAAGCCCTGACCTACAGTTTATTCTCTCTCATCCCCATCCCTGTTTAGTTATTCTCTCCATCTATTGCCTTCACTAGCTTAGAATCATAGAACATCAGAGTTGGAAGGGACCTTGAAGGCCCTCTAATCCAGCCCCCTGCTCAAGCAGGAGATCCTATACCAGGGGTCTTCAAACTTGGCCCTTTTATGACTTGTGGACTTCAACTCCCAGAATTCCTCAGCCAGGCATGCCTGGCTGAGGAATTCTGGGAGTTGAAGTCCACAAGTCATAAAAGGGCCAAGTTTGAAGACCCCTGTCCTGTACCATTTCAGACAAACGGTCGTCTAGTCATTTTTCAAAAGGCTCCAGTGATAAAGTGCCACTTTCTTTGGCTATCATCTCAGAGGTAGATATCGGAATGTAAACAGCTGACATATCAAGACTTATTGATATTTGGAAAAGAGTGATTTAAGATAAAGGCAAGAGAACAATTAGTAAGTGAAGGATTTGCTTGCGACTGGTTTAATTATTATAGAATTTTTGAAAGATTTAAATATGATTTTTAAAAGTTTTGTTTTCACAGGAATTAAATCCGAACTGGACGTTAATTTATGTTGTAGAGATGACCATATGATTTCTAAAGTAGATAAAATGTTACTCAAGGTGAACCTAGAAGATGAATATGTTAAAGGATGTATGGTAAAATGGGCAAAAATATTTCCGTATAATGTAATGCTAGATAAATGGAAGAATGTGTGGACAAATGGACTAAAATTTACATTAAATTACATTTTGAAAGAAAACTTCTATAAAATGATATAAATATATATATATATTTGTAAAAGGGGAGGAGAATTTACTGCTTTTCTTTTCTTGTAATACCCAGCCAGGGTGGATCCTACATGTTAAATATTAAATTTAATTGATCACTTTTTCCTCTTTTTTGACACATTATTTTTTTTCTTTTTTGTTGTTGTTGTTAGGGTTGAATGTATGTTTTTGTTTTGTTTTGTTTGTTTGTGTTACTGCTGTGTATTTTATCTTTTATGATAAAATAATAAATATTTTTTTAAAGCACCCACAACTTTTGAAGGCAAGCTGTTCCACTGGTTGATTGTTCTCACTGTCAGGAAGTTTCTCCTTAATTCCAGGTTGCTTCTCTCTTTGATTAATTTCCATCTGTTGCTTCTCGTCCTGCCTTCAGGTGCTTTGGAGAATAGCTTGACCTCCCCCCTTCTTTGTGGCAGTCCCTCAAATACTGGAACACTGCTGTCATGTCATCCCTAGCCATTATTTTTACTAGACTAGACATACCCAATTCATGCAGCCGTTCTTCATATGTTTTAGCCCCAAGGCCCCTAATCATCTTTGTTGCTCTTCTCTGCACTCTTTCTAGATGTCAATATCTTTTTTATATCATGATGACCAAAACTGGATGCAATATTCCAAGTCTGGTCTTACCAAAGCCTTATAAAGGGGTACTTCATGTGATCTTGATTCTATCCTCCTGTTAGGACTACGTTGGCTTTTTTGCTGCTGCCACACATTGCTGGCTTATATGTAAGTGATTGTCCACTAGGACTTCAAGATTCCTCTCGCAGTTACTTTTATTGAGCCAAGTTTCACCTAATCTGTACTTGTATATTTGTTTTTGTTGCCTAAGTATAAAATCTTACATTTCTCTACATTGAACTTGATTTTATTAGGTATAGGAAATGTTAGTGGTTTTTATATGTATCTCTATATTACTTTGCCTATTTCCACATTGCAGCAGTGCACATAAACAAATAAATACATGGTACTTACACATACAATAAAGAAATCAAGAATACACCAGCCGTCAGTAAAATATTTTCTAAAGCCATAGGCCACCCATTTGAGAAGCATCTCCAAGAAAAATATACAGAAAAAGAATACATCGGCATACTCAAGAATGCTTTTTATGGTTTTCCTTCTATCAAGGTAAATGTCTTCAAAGATCTGGAATTATAAATCAGGTGGTGATTTAGACTATAATAAAATCAAATATTGTTTCTATAGATTCTCATATCCTGGCCATAAGCTGTTCCAACTCCTTCCTTGGGAAGCCACTATAGGGCATTGCATGCCAAGACAGCTAGACACAAAGATTTTTTCCCCTATCACTCTACTGAACATCTAATCCTTAAGTGTTGCCCTATGTCTAAGTATATTTACCCATGGAGGAGGCTGTATTACTATGATCTTTCTCAACTTTTCTATTACCTTCTCCTATTGGTATCCTATGATTGCATTACTTTGTTGTTTGTATGTATACTGAGAGCTTATGCATTGGAGACAAATTCCTTGTGTCCAATCACATTTGGCCAAATAAAGCTATTCTATTCTATTCTATTCTATTCTATTCTATTCTATTCTATTCTATTCTATTCTATTCTATTCCATTCCATTCCATTCCATTCCATTCCATTCTCTATCTTCTGTTCTACTCTACTCTACTCTACTCTACTCTACTCTACTCTACTCTACTCTACTCTACTCTACTCTACTCTACTCTACTCTACTCTACTCTATTCCATTCCATCCCATTCCATTCCATTCCATTCCATTCTCTATCTTCTGTTCTACTCTACTCTACTCTACTCTACTCTACTCTACTCTACTCTATTCTATTCTAGCTTAGCTGATGAGGACAGTTCCAATCTGCTATGATAACAGAAGTGGCATGCAGCAGACCCTATCAGTTATGGGATTCTAACTGGTGGGATCCAGGAGAAGGGTCTTTTCTGTTGTGGCTCCTACCCTCTGGAATATTGTGCCCCCCTGAGGTGAGATACACTCTCACCTTTTTGGCCTTCCGTAAGAGCCTCAAAACTTGACTCTGCTGACTGGCCAAGGGTCCCAATGAGTGTGCCATTCTGGAGAAGGATTTTGGACTTTTGGACTAAGATGATCCCATCTCCACCTTATAGTATTCTGGTTTTTTAAAACTTATTGAATCCCTTTTAATAAACTATTTCTCCTTCTATGATTGGGGCCTTAATAATAATAATAATAATAATAATAATAATAATAATAATAATAATAATAATAATAATAATAATAATAATGATGTTGGAAGGGACCTTGGAGGTCATCGAGTCCAACCCCCTGCTCAGGCAGGAACCCTACACCATTTCAGACAAATGGCTGTCCAGTCTCTTCTTAAAAACTTCCAGTGTTGGAGCATTCACTGCTTCTGGAGGCAGATTGTTCCATTGATTAATTGTTCTAACTGTCAGGAAGTTTCTCCTTAGTTCTAAGTTGCTTCTCTCCTTGATCAGTTTCTATCCGTTGTTTCTTGTCCTGTCCTTCAGGTGCTTTAGAGAATAGCTTGAATCCCTCTTCTTTGTGGCAGCCCCTGAGATATTGGAACACTGCTATCATGTCCCCCCTCGTCCTTCTCTTCATTAAACTAGACATCCCCAATTCCAAAATTCTATTCAGAACTATACAAGGATCAAGATCTCTCAAAAGTAACAACACCCACAAAAGAGGAAATGCTGATATCCTAATGGAGGAAATATCGTGCCATAAAATCAAAGGAACAGGAAGGCTTCAGAAGTGGCTACAGCCCAGTGGATCACATCATGAGGTGGCTGACACCAACAAGTTCTAGCTTGCATATTGAGACCAAATAAACAATGAATACTAGGACAAAATTTTCATATCAAAATGCATTGAATAATAATAATTATAGATACTGTTTATTAATAATAAATATACTTTTAATTCTTAGGTGATAGATGTAGATGATAGATGATAGGTGATAAATGATAGAGAACGAGAGAGAGTGAGATGTTACTGGGAATACAAAAGTATCTTTATTATTATTAAAAAGTATCTATATTATTAATAAGTGTCTTATTAACAGCAGAAGCTAAAGAAAAGCAGAAGTGATTCGAAGTAAACTTACCAGAGCACTACTACTCAGTAATATCATGAATATAATAAAGGATTCAAACCAATTGTGTTTTATAATTTTGTAGCAGGTTTTCCTAAATTTCCACCACGTGTTGCCTGGAAATACATCTGTATTCACTCTGCACCATGGAAACAATTTCATGAAGACTAAAATAAAAAAAAATAGAAATCATTAGTTCCTAGAAAATTGATCAGAAGCCAATCTCTTCCTGGTCTCTTTTCTTGCAGTCATATGATTGCAATTCAGACATTTGCAACTGCCTCGAACTTATGACCAATTGCAGCATCCTGCAGGCACATGATCACAATTTACAAATTATTTTCAACAATTTTTGGCAATAAGCACCACTGAAGTAGCACCAGCTATCTGCAAGGACTATAAATCCTTTGTCAACGCTGCTAACATAGGATGTTCTTGCTTTGACAAGATATGGAGATACAGCCATTTTCCTTCTTATGTTTTACTCGTAGAATTAGAGTTAGAATTAGAGGATACTGGAGGGGGAGGAATGTGCATGGGAGTTTAGTTAGACATAACAATATTGTAGCTGGTGTGGGAACCAAGGTTTTTTTAAATAAGGGGTGATAAGAAATGGCGGGTTGAAAAACTGGAGGGAAAGCCTGCATTTCAAACTAATTGGAGAATGTGATTTATGACTGTTAATTAGAGGAGGGAATTATGCTTTGATACTATGTGCTCAGGGGAGGGGAATTCAGATTTTGGCTCTGCCTATGTACATGCCGATGCTATGCTACTCGAATAAAGATTCTTTAAGGTAAACAATGCCTCGAAGTTCTTCGAAGAGTTTCATCTGTCGGAACCATGACATCCTTCCATTCCCCACCATCCAGTCAGAGCTGAGGGAACTTCTTGGATGAGAAGCAAAATGTCTTCAAAGAAAAACAAGAAAGTCCAGTTGCCTCCTAAAAAAAGCACCTTTGGGACAACCATGACTTGGATAACTGACAATCTCCTCAGACATTGAGGAATTAGGATTCACTTAACAACAGTTTCATTTGTTTAAGAGCCATGCAATTCACTTAATGATTGCTGTAAAAATATGGCCAAACCAGGTGCAACTTGACTTACTACCATGACAACTTACAATGGAAATTCCAGTTCCAACTGTGGTTGTAACTTGAGGACTTCCTGCACCAACACCAACTGATAAGTAGTCAATCGAAGAGAACAATATACAGGTAGTCCTCGATTTAAAACCCCAATTGAACTCAATATTTCTGTCACTAAGTGAGACAGTTGTTAAGTGAGTATTGCTCCATTTTATAACCTTTCTTAGCACAGTTGTCAAGTGAGGTTGTTAAGTTAGTAACATGGTTGTTAAATGAATCTAGTTTCCATTGACTTTGTTTGTCAAAAGACCACAAAAAGTGATGATATTACCCCAGGACATGGCAACTGTCAAAAATATGAACCAGTTGCCAAGCATATGAATTTTGATCACCATGGGGATGCTGCAATGGTCATAAGCGTGAAAAATGGTTATAAGCCACTTTTTTTCAGTGCCGTTGTGACTTTGAACAGTCACTAAATGAACTGTTGTAAGTCAAGGACTACCTGTATAGGTTTATCTTCCAGAATGCTTCAAGCCCCCTCCATTAGAATCATTTGTTGAAGGCAATTATTTTTTACATCTACCTTGTTGGCTTCTTGAACTAAAGTAGGGGTTCTGGTTTCAGACAAACGGTCCCTCTGCCAATCCAGACTCTCAAAAACGACTCATACAGAAATACATATAAAGTAACGAGATAGAATTCGAAAGGAACAAGATGGTTAAAACCGCTGAGCTTGTCCGCTGGAAAGCAGACAGCCTGGGTTCAAGACCAAGCTCTTGATCCAGCCCCAGCTCCTACCCAGCTAGCAATTTGAAAGCAGGCAAATGCGAGTAGATAAATAGGTACCACTTTGGTGGGAAGGTAACTGTGTTCCATGAGCCTCAGCATAGAGTCATGCTGGCCACATGACCACGGAAGCTAGGAAATGGAGATGAGTACCACCCCTTAAAGTTGGACATGACTGGACAGGGGGAATCTTTTTACCTTTATTATGGAAACCATAAAATCCAACCCTGAGTTCAGTGCTGGAATTCAAATTAAAATATCTTCAACAGATGAAAAGGCCTGAATACTAGTATCCCTGAGTAATATGTTTCAAAATCAATAGCTCTTATTCAGTGGTGGGATTCACAGTTCTCTGTGTGGATGCCGCTTCTGGAAGTCCATTCTGGGCCTGGGCAACAAAAAATTAGCTACCGGTTCTGCCGAAGTGGTGCGAACTGGCTGAATCCCACCACTGCTCTTATTGACTTTCCTAAAAATAATAGGAGGAACGTTGTCCATGGGGTTGCGATGGGTCGGACACGACTTCGCAATTTACAACAACAATAAATAAAATAAAATAAAATAAAATAAAATAAAATAAAATAAATACTTTATTGTCATTGTATGTGCATACATAGTATACATATACAACGAAATTTACTTGACACCCAAAAACCAAGTCCCACACACATAATAATAATATTCTTGAACTATCAGACCCAAAGCTGAGTTTTTAATAGAAAAGAAAAACACCTGGGGAAGGGGTGTGTGTGAACTGACTGGGAAAGCCTTAGCATTTTCTGAGGAAATGGAGGTCTGGAGAAGCAAAATGTGTTTGTTGTTTCTGCTTCTTCAAGCCTGTAGTTAGAAGCAATTGTTTGTTAGCCACCAGGAGCTAAAGTTTTTAAGATGGATAAATATTAAAGCCGTACAATATAAATTTGCTTAGCATAAATAATAGGTTGGGCTATAAGCTGCCTAGAGTAGCCCCATGGCGAGATAAGTGGAAAATAAATTTAACAGAACTGGAGCGCCACTTAAACACCATCGGCATTGACAAATTCACCACCAGTCAATTGCAAAAGGCAGCTTTACTTGGAACAGCTTACATCCTGCGACAGGACCTTTTACACCATCAAACATCCACATCTGCCTATCCCAGGTCCTTGGAAAGGACTCAGTTGGTGGATTAAAATGCCAAATCCAGTTTAAACATATGGCTGATGGTGCAGACAATATAATAATAATAATAATAATAATAATAATAATAATAATAATAATAATAATAATAATAATAATAATAATAATAATAATAATAATAATAATAATAATAATAATAATAATAATAATAATAATAATAATAATAATAATATGTGCCAAATTTGGATTTGGCACATTTACTAAAAAGGATGACTGCCACTGATCAACATTTCAACAGATTTTTTTTATCTGAGTAGTTTTCTGCTGAGAAAACTGGTCTTCACCTTGTGGGAAACAATCCTGAGGTTCCTTCTTCACTTCAGGCACCGGATTGATAGGAGATCTCTGATCCACCGTGCTAATCTCTGAACAGCTCGTATCATAATCTGATCTCTGGATAGGAGGGGGGGAAAAATCACAATCAGCATCTGAGGAATTAAGGTAGCGGTATACACTATTCAGAAACATACTATTCATGATAGGAAAAGAAAAAGGCTGAAACTCAACACACTTTTTACTAGATCTTTGAGATCTCCAAGAAACATGCAGAAAACCTCGTGTGATACATAGGAAATTTATCTATAGCTAAATGTCTATGGAGATTCTCAGTTATCCAGGTTATAGTAATGCCAAAAATGCTTTTTCATGAGGCAACTGGACTTCCTTGTTTTGTTTTGTTTTTTAAGACATTTAGCTTCTCAACATAGAAGCTTCTTCAGCTTCTTGAATGAGAATGGAACGAAAGGATTTATATTCCTTGCAGACAGCTGGTCATTTGCATTTTTTTAGAAAGTCACTGAGGCCACTTGGAGGTGTGGAGCCTTCTTGAAACTGCTGAAAGGATTCTGTATGACATCATCTATCTCCAGACTACAACACGGTCCTTTCAGCAGTTCCAGGAAGGCTCCACACCTTTTTCCACCATTCAGGTGACCCTGAGGACACAGATAAACCTCCAGGTGGCCTCAACGACTCTCTCAAAGAATGCAAATGACCGACTGTCTGCAAGGAGTATAAATCTTTCCATTCCCCACCATCCAATCAGAGCTGAAGAAACTTCTTGGATGAGAAGCGAAACTTCTTCAAAAGAAAAAATAAGAAAGTCCAGCATTTTGGGGATATCCATAGCCAAGTTACATACATGGTTGTAAGCCACAAGAAAAACATGATTTGAGGACTGTCTGGATTTGGAGATTTTCTACCTTTGGTTCTGGGTTACATTACACTGCTTCAAACTACTCATGTGTAAAATACAGAATAACAGAGTTGGAAGGGACTTTGGAGATCTAGTCCAGGGGTAGGCAACCTTGGCTCTTTTATGACTCATGGACTTCAGCTCCCAGAATTCCTGAATCCATGCTGACTCAGGAATTCTGGGAGTTGAAGTCCACGAGTCATAAAAGAGCCAAGATTGCCTATCCGTGGTTTACTCCAATTCCTTGCTCAAGCAGACCCTATACCCAGACAGAGGGACGCGGGGCTGGGCTGCTCCCCTCCCCCTCTCCACGCATGTGGAGTCCGGGAACAGTTGCGAGAGCCAGGCGGGGAGAGGAGAACCTATAAAAGGAGCAGGTTTTGGCGGGAGAGTGAGTGAGCTGCCTGTGGAAGCAACCAGTGGTGGGTTTCAAATAATTTAACAACCGGTTCTCTGCCTTGCCTTCCCTTTGCTTGGTGGGGGTGGGCTGCTCGGGGGGTCGGCTGGGGTGGCGGCAGGAGCTCCCGGTTGCGGAATTGCTGGAGGTCCCAGCTGGGGGGCAGGAGGGTACGGTTGGGGGGCTGCAGGAGTCTCGGACTGGGGTAGGTGCAGGAGGGTGGGGGCTCATCCGGTCGCCATCACTGCACTATAGCATTTCAGACAAAAGCCTGTCCAGTCTCTTCTTTAAAACTTCCAGTATTGGAGCACTCACAATTTCTAGAGGCAAACTGTTGTATATATGCATATGTATTTCCTATTTCCTAACTGCCAGATCATGTCTTTATACTGTGTTTCATTATGAGGTTTTCTAAAATTGAGCTACTGTTTATAAATTTTATGAGCTGCCCTGAATCATAGGTCGATGGGTGGCTACATAAGTCAATTAGATAATTAATAAATAATAAGTGAAGTGTAAAAAGCTTTTTTCAATGTTTTGATTGGCCTTGTTGCTACAATAGGTGTGCTCTGAACGGAGAGTATTTAATTAGAGTTCCTACAGGGCTTATTGTCTACTCAAATGACATACCTTTGAAGAATGGATGCCATTTGCCTGGGTTTTAAATTCAAAAGCTGCTTGCCCTGAGAAAGAGAATAAAGTATCATGGGAATAAAGTCTTCCCCACACAAACTCAGTTCTGCCTTTCCATACTTACAAGAAAGGACCACTGCATGCCAAGGGGATGAGACAAAAAAAAAATCTGGAACTCTTTTGTAAGAGTAACCTAAGAATAGTCATTTCTCTGGTCAAATTTTAGAGAATGCAAAGTACCATTTTCTCAGCAAGTCATGAAGCTGTCTTTGGCCATTTTTATTGGCTTTACCTTGGGAACATCCAAAGACCAAACACTTGTAGTTTCGGAAAACTGGGAAGAGAGTCTTCGATTATGGTCTTGATATATTTCTCTCCTCTTTCGCAGATTGTTCTCCTAGAGAAAGATAGCCCCCCCCCAAAAAAAAAGTTTGCTATGCCAAAATGTTTTCTTCTTCAAGTTTCTTCAACACGAAGAAGTTCCATACCAAACATAAAAAGTTATAAAAAAGCAGCAAAGAAATGAAAAAAACTTAACTATTTATTCTGAAATACTATCAATGTGATGAACGCACAAGAGTAAATTATGTCAGCCACATCCTTTGGGCATGAAACATACATTGCCTTGTGTTTAAGCATGTTTGAGCCATATGTGAATTATTCAAAAAGTCTGCTGAATCCAAATTTTTATTCCTCCAGAGGCTCATATATACACTTTTTTTTAAAAAAAAAAAGTAAAGATCAAAGAGTCTCTACAGATTTTATTCGCTAGTTGTTGCTGATTCTGGGGGCTAGTGCTCATCTATGTGTCAAGGCTGTTGAGCCAGCGCTGACCAAGGACATTTCCATGATCATGTGGCCAGCATGATGCCACGGAGCGCTGTTACCTTCCTGCCAAAGTGGTACCTATTTATCTACTCACATTTACCTGCTTTCCAACTGCTAAGTTGGCAGGAGCTGGAGCAAGGACGGGAGCTCATCCTGTCGCATGGCCCTTGGGTCTCAAACCTGGGCTGCTGGCATTCCAGCCGACAAGCCAGCTGAGACACCATGCCACTTCAAATATACAGTAAAATGAGATAAATCCAACACCCCGTTTCTTCCCAACGTCTGCTATTCAAGTTACACACAGGTAATCCTTAACTTACAACTATCCTTTAGCAACCGTTTGGAGTTACGACGGCGCTGAAAAAGGGACTTACAACCAGGTCTCATATTTATGACTGGCACGATATCTGCACAGTCACGTGATCAAAATTCAGGTGCTCAGCAACTGGAATGTATTTATGATGGATGCAGCATCCTGGGACCATGTGGTCATCAAATACAATCTTCCAATGGTGGGATTCAAATACCTGAACAACTCTTATTTGATGCAGGCCTGGGCCTCCGAGGCCTAGAACGGACTTCTGGAAGTGGCATCCACGCACTTTCGGCGGGCCGTTCTAGTCCTGGGAGGCCTCCTCCAGGCCTTCGAGGTCTAGAACGGACTTCCGGAAATGGCATCCATGCACTTCCGGTGGGCCATTCTAGGCCTGGGAGGCCTCCTCCAGGCCTCCGAGGCCTAGACTGGACTTCCAGAAGCAGTGTGCATTCAGCCGGTTCTCCGAACTCAGCAAAATTTAGCTACCGGTTCTACCGAACCGGTGCGAAGTGGCTGAATCCCACCACTGCAATCTTCCCTGCCACTTTTCAACAAGCAAAGTCAATGGGGAAAGCCAGATTCACGCAATGACTGCATGATTCACTGCAGTGGTTAGCTTAACAACCATGGTAAACAGGATCATAAAATCAGGCACAGTTCACTTAACAACAGCCCTGTCCAACAGTGGAAATGTTGGTCCCAATTAAAAGTTCTAATTACAGGACTACCTGTAGTCATGATTTTTCAGTTTTGTTATCCTGGGAAACAGTTTTTATTATCAATTAACCTGTTTAATCCTTGCAGATGCCTCCTAAAGGTAACAACTGCTAACAGAAAATTCAGTTGGTACATGTCAACAAAAAAGGGAAGCTAGTACAGAACCACTTAAACACTAGAAAGAAATTTTCCCCAAATGTTTTATTATACTTTCATAGGGAATAAAAACAGCAAGTTAGGATAGTTGTTCCCTACCAGGGTACTAAGATCCATTTCCTCAATACTTAATGTCTCCAGTTCAGCCAGGGGAACAGAGGGAAGTTCCCTGTAATCGGTCGCAAAATCTTCCTGTTTCCTATCCCACGGACGTTTATCCCAATTCTCGAAGGATTCCGTGCTAGCAAAGTTCTCTGAGATCTCTTTCGAGGATTCAGCCTCACAGGACTTTTCAGTGACAGTTGCCTTGTTCTTTTTCTTTGTGCCTGTTATCTTCATCTTCTTCAGGAACACATTGCAACACCAATCCCACAGGAAAAGTCTGACAAACCGCAGCCCCCTCTGTAGGAGTGCGACAGCCTTTTCAGGCTGGGGTTTGCAGTTATCCGCCTCTGTTTCGCAATCGCTGCTACTGAAGGAACTCAGCAACAGAGCGATAAAGAGGTTGAGGACCTGCGTGGAAAAAAAAAGCAAGTTTTTTTTTTTAAAGATAGAAAAATATCTATTTCAGAGTAAGATACAGGTAGTCCTCGACTTACAACCATTAATTTAGTGACCTCCTTGAAGTTGCAATGGCACTGAAAAAGTGGCTTATGACCATTTTTCACACAGTTGCACAATCCTCTTGGTCACGTGATCAAAAAATCAGATGCTTGGCAACTGACTCACATTTATGACAATTGGAGTGTCACAGAATCACGTGATCCCCTTTTGCAGCCTTCTGACAAGCAAAGTCAATGGGGAAGCCAGATTCACTTTACAGCTGTGTTACTAACTTAGCAACTGCAGTGATTCACTTAACAACTGTGGCAAGAAATGTCGTAATACGGGGCAAAACCCACCTGACAACTATCTCTCTTAGTCATGAAAATGTAGGGCTCTATTGTGGTTGTAAGTCAAAGACTACCTATATTCAGACTACAATCCTATCCATAGGGCCTGGGATAATAAGGCTTATTTCTGAATAAATAAATATAGGATTACAACATCAAGCCATTTTTCTCTGCTGTGTAAATACTCTCCTCTGAAACTGGTCTAGTACTCAAATACTGCCAACTCTTCAGTTTTGCTCCTGAAATAACTGGATAAAATTTTTCACCTGCTTCTCACTTGACCACTTGACACAAAGTGAAGGAGTTGCGAAGCTGTAACCAAGTTCCATTCCTCTATTATGAACTTATATATTTATAAAGAGTGGGCATTAAATATAAAGTCTGAAGGAGCTTCACAGGAAATAGCAGGTGTTAATTCCATCTTTTGTTTGACTGTGCTTGAAAATAGTATGAAAATAGTGAAAATAGTATGATTTGAACAATGAAAAAAATCCATCAAGCAATGAACACTGCAACACATTGTCTCCCAAGGGCAATAATTTAGCCCATTCCTTCAATCTGGCAAAAGTGTGCTCAAGCAAATAGTCTTCTTCCAACTGACTCCTGATAACTCCCATGAAGTGCATTCAGTTTTTCTAGTAGTATTATGGATTCTTTATTGTGTTAGAAATTCTGTTTATATAGTCCTACAGAACTAGCAAAATGCACAGTCACCATGTGCTTTACTGCTTAACTATTAGAAGGAAACAGGAAACTTTTTATACAGAGAAAAGACATAGAACATATTAGAGATAAAACTAGCAAACCTACAAACACTGCCCCCTACACGCTCTACTGCTGTAGTTGTTGCATAGAATACAAGAAAACTATATTCCAACAACGTTCTGCTGGGAAATTGTTTCCAAGATGGTCCTTATGGCAGGGGTCCCCAACCCTCATGGCCCGCCACTGTGTTATGGCCTATTTGCAACCAGACTGCACAAGCTGTGAGCTGGCACACATGCAGCTAAACTCGTGCAAATGGCGGGCTGCTATGCAAGCACATGCATGCGCAGCTCAATTTGCAATCAAGCGGCATGCTCACATGCACATGGGTCTGTCACTTGTGTAAGTCAAGGTGTGTGCACGCATGCGCACCAGCCCACCACTTGCATAAATTGAGCTCACGCGGCCCAGTTCCCCTTTTCCCACCCCCCCCCAAGCCACAAAGATTGGGGACTGCTGCTTTATGGTGCTTTATCCAAGTACAAACTAGGATCCAGCCCTATTTAACTTCCAAAATGAGCAAGAAAGCAATACACAGAAGAAAATCTATCATGAGATTATCTCAGTGGAGAAAGAAAAGGGTCTCTTAAAGTTTTTGGTTTTGTTTTTGTTTTTTAAAAAAACTATAGGTAATCCTCAGCTTACAACCATTCATTTAGTGACCGTTCAAACTTCCAATGGTACTGAAAAAGTGACTTATGACACTTTCGAATGTTACAGCATCCCCATGATCATGTGGTCCAAATTTGGACACTGGGCAACTGGCATGTATTTAGGATATGTCCTGGGGTCACATGATCCCCTTTTGTGACCTGATAAGCAAAGTCAATAGGGAAGCCAGATTCACTTTACAACTGTGTTACTAACTGAACAACTGCAGGGATTCACTTAACAATGGTGGCAAGAAAGGTCATAAAATCGGGCACAATTCACTTAACAACTATCTTGCTTAGGAACAGAAATTTTGGGTTCAATTGTAGTTGCAAGTTAAAGAGTACCTGTAGTGTAAAAGCTTATCAGCTCTGATAAAGATGCGAGATTGTGAAAAATAGTTTGTAAGCCTCCCAGAGGCAGCTCTAGGCAAGATGGGCAACCTAGAAGTCTAATAAATAAATAAATAAAATAAAATTTCACATTATGCGTTATTCTAGAACAGTGGTTCTCAACCTTTTTAATGCCGCGACCCCCAACCGGTCGTAAGTCGAGGACTAAACCGGTCGTAAGTCGAGGACTAAACCGGTCGTAAGTCGAGGACTACCCAGCCGGTCGTAAGTCGAGGACTTTCCCTGCCCGGGAGCACCGCGCATGCCACCAAGGCGGGGGACGCGGCCGGCTCCGCATCGACCGTTCGCCGTCTCTGCCTCGTCCGGCTGGTGGTCGACCGGGTCGAGTTCCCTCCATTCCGTGGGCGGCCTTTTCCCCCTTTTTTACCGCCTGTCGGAACGAACCGCTGGGGGCACTTTACCAGCTAGCTGGGGTTTACCCCAGCGCACCCATAGGTTGAGAACTGCTGTCCTAGAAGTAAATTATATTTGTTTACAGAAGAAGAAATTAGACAACTGGACTTTGAAGGGGAAAGTTCCCCTCCTCATTTTGTTAACTGAGAAAGGCTCCAATTTAAATAGTTCTGTCAAAAATCTTCGGAAACTTACCACCAGATTTCCTAAAACCAGGACCAGCATGAACAGAATGATGCACCGTCCTTCCCCAGCAACTTGCATGCATTCCCACATGGTAGCAATCCATTCTCCACACAGGATTCGGAATATAATAAGAAACGAATGTAAAAAATCCTTCATGTGCCAACGCAACTGGCATGTCTCAGAATCATTACTGGAAACACAATTGGGCATACTGTTGTTGTTGCAGATGCTAGCATTCGCAGTGACCGCTCTGTAATAAATCCCAAACGCTTGCTTGCCAACCACAGCAAAAATGAACACGGTGAATATCAGAACAAGGGTGAGGTTACCCAGAGGGCCCACTGATTTCAACATTATTTTCATAAGCTTATTTAAAGCTGGCCAAAATTTTGAAAGTTTGAAGATTCTCAGCTGTTGGGGAGGAAAGGAAAGAACACAGGAATCAAGCAGTTAGATTTGAGTTTTACACTATATCAATGGTGGCGAACCTTTTAGAGAACAAGTGCCCAAAAACTGGCCCTGCCCCCATTCCACTCCCCACCCCGTCCCCCGCACTGCCTGCCCACAGGGCCACTCACCGCCTCCAGGGCCTGCTGCAGATCGCCCAGGCAGCCCAGCAGCGCCATGGCAGCCACGCCCTCTGCCCGCACCCCACAGCATCAACTGTGTGCGAATGGGATGTGAGGACAGAATCTTGTCTATGCTGCCTGGCTGCCATGTCCTTGGCTGCGCTGCTCCATGTGGGCCACGCTCAGGGGTGACTCTCCTCCAGGGGGGCTGCTGGTGAGGGAGTCGTGGGGGGAGGCAAGACTGGGGCAACGGCACGTGTGCCCACAGAGAGGGCTCCGAGTGCCGCCTCTGGCACACATGCCATAGGTTTGCCACCACTATACTATACACACGGTTCATTCTACTGATAAAATATGTATCAGACTTTTCATACCAAAAGGAAGTTCAAAATGCACTTTTATATAAACACCCACTTGTACAAGAGGATGGCATTTACATCTGAAATTATATATAGTACATGTCTGTTATTAATGATTCAGAGAAGATTAAAAATGCTTCCTAATTCCAGTATATATATATCTCTGAATCAACAGGTAAATAGACTGCTTCATATGATGTTTCTTTGATGACTAGCTATTCTGGCAGGCCTGTTCAAGAGAAGAGCAGCCTATCAACAAGACATAATTGTCATTATTATATATTATTTGGCCTTACCTGTACCATACCAAGAAAACAACATAGAATAGGCACCCAGCAAAAGCTGGCCAAATTATTGCCAAAAATAAGGCACTTCATTACTCAAATTTAGCAATCTAATTCATTTCCTTTAAAAAGTAGGAGTTCATTCACAGGATGGACATAAAAGATTTATACTTGATTGTATCAAAAGGGTTCTTCATTACCGTTCTGAAAATTGGTGCTCGCATGTTGAGCGCCATGTTTATTATGCTGATAATAACCACAATGAAGTCAAACACATTCCAGGGGCACTGAAAATAGTAATACGGATCTAGCGCAATCATCTTGAGGACCATTTCAGCCATAAAAATGGCAGTGAACACCTGCAAGAAAATATATCAGAACTAAACTAAAAATTGGGTATTAATCTCTTTCTCTGAAATACAATAATGATGTTTTTCTTCTTCTTTTCTTTCCTGTAAATTATATTGCTTTATGTAATAGTGATTCTTAGTTATCCTAATGCTGGGCAGAAAAAAAATATCCTGCATTTTTTTTTCTATCAGTTCTTACATAATAGGCTGGAAAATAATTATGCATCCTTTTTAAAGGAGGATGTTTGGGATCCTGGGGTGCTCTTACACTTACTTAATGAAGAGATGGTCAACCAATGTAATGGTTAAGGGACTGGCCTGGAAACCAAGTTACTGTGAGTTCTAGTACTGCCTCAGGCATGAAAGCCAGCTGGGTGACTTTGAGCCCATCACCAGGAGAGGGTGAGTTCTAGTCCCGACTTAGGCGTGAAAACTGACTAGGAACCAGTCAATCTCTCTCTCTGCCCAAGCCACCTCAGGGTTGGTGTTATGGGGAAAACATGGAGGTAGAAAGAATATTATATTTGCTACCTTGAATTACTCATAAAAAGTTTTAAAAGCTGGGATAAAAATCTAATAATTAAATAATAATCTTAATTTGCAGCCTCCCGGGTTTCTATTAAATCCTAAAGAGGATTGAAAGGAAATTCTCACTAGGCTGCCTCAGTAATGGTGCTATATTCAATTTTTGAGCAAATGAAAGAATTCAGCCACCCAATCTCTCTACTCAGAAATGTGGGAGAGAAAGGGCTTCCATTCTTGGAGAATATAATTCAGTTGGCGTTGGTACATAGCTCTGATTTATAAACAGATGGTCCTCAATTTATGAGCGCAATTGGGACTTCTGTTGCTATGCAAGGTGGTGGTTAAGTCGGTCATGTCCAAATTTCATGGCCTTTTTGCCACAGTTGTTAAGCGAATCACTGCAGTTATTAAGTGAATGACTGCATTTATTAAATGAATCCTGCTTCCCCCATTGACTTTGCTTGTCTGCCTTCAGGTGCTTTGGAGAATAGCTTGACTCCCTCTTCTTTGTGGCAGCTCCTGAGATACTGGAATACTGCTATCATGTCCCCCCTCGTCCTTCTCTTCATTAAACTAGACATACCCAATTCCAGCAACCGTTCCTCATATGTTTTAGCCTCCAGTCTCCTAATCATCTTTGTTGCTCTTCTCTGTACTCTTTCTAGAGTCTCAGCATCTTTGTTACATCATGGTGACCAAAATTGGATGCAGTATTCCAAGTGTGGCCTTACCAAGGCATTGTAAAGTGGTATTAACACTTCACGCGATCTTGATTCTATCCCTCTGTTAATGCAGCCCAGCACTGAGTTGGCTTTTTTGGCAGCTGCAGCACACTGCTGGCTCATATTTAAGTGATTGTCCACTAGGACTCCGAGGTCCCTCTCGCAGTTACTACTATTGAGCAAGGTACCCCCTATACTATACTTGTACATTTGGTTTTTCTTGCCTTTTACATCTTGGAATGAAAAAAGTGGTAACTTAAAGTAAAACAATCTATCGCGGGTCACAAGTTCAGACAGGTCTAGGAGGACATAGAATTCGGACAGAAGACCTCACAACCGATAAGGACGGTCGAACCACAGTAGACGTTTAAACTACTCAAGGGGTAGATAGGGGAGCAGGTTATCGTTGATGAAGATGTTGAAGATCACTGGGCCCAGAACAGAGCCCTGGGGCACCCCACTACACACTTCCCTCCCTCCATGTAGATGCAGTTCCATTGAGAACCACGTGCTGAGTACGACCAGTCAGCCAGCTACGAATCCATCTAGTGGTGATGCTGTCTACCCCACTTTTTTCTATCTTATCGAGTAGTAGGTTGTGATCTACTTTATCAAATGCCTTACTGAAGTCCAAGTAAATCTGTGAGTTAAGGAGGAGGAGGATACCTACAACTTACAACCACAACTGAGCCCAAAATTTATGTTGATACGCAAGACAGTTGCTACATGAGTTTTGTCCCATTTTACAACCTTTCTTGCTGCAGTCGTTAAGTGAGACTACAGTTGTTAAGTTAGTAACATGGTTGTTAAGTGAATCTGGCTTCCCCATTGACTTTGTTTGTCAGAAGGTTGCAAAAGGGGATCAAAGTGACCTGGGACCCTGCAACTGTCATAAATATGAGTCAGTTGCCAAAAATCTGAATTTTGATCCCGTGACCATTGAGATGCTCTGATGGTTGTAAATGTGAAAAAGGGTCATGTCACTTTTTTCATTGCTGTTGTAACTTTGAATGGTCACTAAATGAACTGTTGTAAACTGAGGACTACCTGAATGGTTTTTGTTAGAAGAACACTGATTCAAATGCATTGCAGATATAAAGGATGTCTATCTGCTTCTCCATAAGATAATTCTTCTGGTAATAATGCTAAAGCTAGAATTCAGACACTGTTAAATTAAAGTATGAAACACTGTTTGCTGCAGATTTATTATTTCAGAAGGCAAAGGCTATTTATTTATTTATTTATCAGATTTTTATCTCTCTTTATTACTTCATAAAGAACTCAAGATGGCGAATATCTCTAACAATCCTTCCTCCTCCAATTTTCCCTATATTAACAAACTTGTGAAATGAGTTGAGCTGAGAGACTATGATTGGCCCAAAATTACCCAGCTGGTTTTCATGCCTAAGGCGGGACTAGAACCCACCCTCTCCTGGTGATTGGCCTAAAGTCACCCAGTCAACTTTCATGTGTAAGGCGGGACTAGAACTCAGATTCTCCTAGTGATTGGCCCAAAGTCATCCAGCCAGCTTTCAAACCTAAGGAAGGATTAGAGCTCCATTTCCTGATGATTGACTCAAAGTCATCCAGATGGCTTTCATGCCTATGGAAGGGTTATAATTGTTCTATTATTTTCTTTTTTCATTCAATAGCCACTTCCAGGGGGCCGGGGTGGGCGGGAAGGCATTAAAAAATCAAGATGGTGATTATTAAAACCATCTTGAGTTTTCCTGAATGCTCTTGCAGATGCCCTGGCCACTTCATTATGCAACTGAGTGATTTCAGAGAACTGAGTAGAAGAAAATGAATAATTTAATGCACAATTAATAGATACAACATTAGAGTACCGAGGTTTCAAAAAGGAACATTTTCCCAGAAAACATCATTATTGGCTGGCATGCACCTTAATAAGAAATTGAATTCACTTACATTATTTCCCTTAGTAACCTGTTCTGATGATAATGAAAGTTTTTCCAATGCCATGAGCAGGGTATTTGCTATAATGCACAGTGTAATAAATAGTTCCATTAAAGGATTTATCATTATTTTCTTCAATATGTTCTTTATTTGCAGCCACAGCGAACAGCACTGCCAAGTAAGATGCTTTTTGATAGCTTCTTTCAGGCCAGGAGGAAATTCAAATTTAGGTTCTTCCCATTCTGAAGACCAAGAGGAACATAATTACAAGTTAATATTTTAGAACTTAATGCAGAATATTGTCTGTTTTAACTTTCCAGGTAGTCCCTGGCACTAATGCACACGCTTAACTTGAAATTGCATCTCATGAAAATGCATACAATACATCTTTTCCTAAAGTTTGATAGTCAAAAAAGATGCTGATTTTTGACTGCACAGGTAGTCCTTGATTTATAATCACTCAGTGACTGTTCAAAATTACAACAGACTCCAAAATGACATTTACAGTCTGGTTCTGAAATCCAACATGTGACATTTTGGGCATTCAGCCGGCATATACAACGGGTTCATATAATGATAACAGTGTTCCCAACTGTTTGGTTAACAACCGCCACAAAAAAGATCGTAAAGTCAGATCTGGTCACATGAACTGTCATTGTGAGTCACATGGACCGTAACTGTGGATTCAGTTCAAGCACCACCTGTAGACTATAGACCAGGTACTTGACAGTTTCTCAACTTTCGCCCTTTTAAGAGGTGTGGAATTCCTCAGCCAGCTGGCCAGCCAACACTGGTACAAGTCCACATCTTTTAAAAGGGCCAAGGCTGACAAACTGTCAAGCACATGGAATCAGGATGCACATACAGTTCTAGTTCAGAAGATGTATAGCTCATACAGAAGAATAATCAACTAACTGTCAGCAGTAAATTGGTACTAGATAAGAGTCAATGGAATTCAAGGGGAAGCTGGACAACTTGTAGGAGCATAAGGACTCCACCCCAGACTCTGCTTTGTCTTTTCCTACAGAAACACCACTATAGATTATACAGCTCTCTTTCTGCAGTATAGAACAAACAAGGTTGTGAAATTTTCTGCATCTCCCTCTCTCACACATACACTGTCATGCCTCCGTGGGAGCCTGAATCTGCAGAGGAAAATGAGCTGGAATGGGATCCTATGGAGGTCGAGGGAGAGGTGTCTGTGGCTTCAGAGGAATGTGGGGAAGAGCAGGCCGAGGCAGGCCAGGGCCCTTCAGGATTGGAACAGGAGGAACAGAGTTCAGGCGATGAGCAAGGGCTACCCCCACCTGATCCTAGAGCACGGAGAGTGGAGCAAAGGAGGGAACAACACAGGCAGACTCAGCTACTCAGGAGGAAAGCGTCCTACTCCTCTCCACAAGGCACACCTGGAGACTGAGATTTAAGGAGACGCTGTGGGGAGAGACATTTGTCAGGGACAAACGCTGATTCCTTGGAGTTTTGTGTGTGTTGTTGCTGATCTCTTGTTCTGTGACTTCTGCTTGGAAACCCGGAAACTCTGATCATTGGACTGGCTGACAACATTTCTTGGATGTTTATAGAGCTTGGACTGTATTTTGACTTCCCTTCTGAAACTGTTCAGGCAAGCGTGTATTCACACAGACTCATTAGGTTTATGATGTATGTGTCATTCTCTCTTATCTCCATGACCTTGAGTAAATTCCTCTCCTAAATCAGACTGTATGTGAAACTACTTGCAGCCAGAGGTGTGTGTGTATCTTCCATTGTTTAGAGGCTTGCCAGAAGCGTGGGAGCATTTGGGGAAAATTTGGAGCAATTAAAGGGTGGTTTGAATTGCCAGCTGACTGCATTGCCTCTGTGCTGTGCCCTGGGTCATCACACACACATAAAAATACATACACACAAAAATGCACTACCATTAAGAGTTGAGGGGCAAAAAGGAACAAAACCTATTGCCTAGTATGTTCAGCAGCTGCTCCCGGTGAAGGTAACAAACAAGAGTTACCAGACAGATTCAACAAGCTTGAGAATTGGGTTGTGGGACATATTAGAAAAGGCGTTTAACTCTGCCTGGCCTGAAGAGTTCTCAGTCACACTTGAATTTGCAGCCCCATTCTGGATTCTATTTTAATATTTACAACATTTCGAGATACTTTGATTTTCGCCTAAATAAAATAATTTTGGGGAAATCTGCAAGTTCCTTTTGAAGTGCTGTAAAGGTGCATGGCACAGTGATGCTGTCTCTGGTGTTGAGACCTGGAATAGTGTATTTCAATTTAGCATGCTAGTGGTCACCAATTTGCACACCTTTAATCTGCTTGTAAAGCTTTATAATTATTGTTTCAATTAGACAACGTGGATGTGTTCCTCTTTGAATTCTGGGTTTCTTGGGCTGAATCAGAGGAGAGAACCAGGGAGTGTTAACCACAGTATGGTTAAAAAAAAAATTAAGGTTGTGATATACATGAAAACAGGTGGGGTAACAATGACATCATTATGATTGCCATCCTGGATTTTTTTACCACATTCTGGGGAAGACTCTTCTTAGTTTTGGAAAGATTAGAACAGAACACAAATTTAAATGTATTTCAGGCCATGAAAACTTAATTGTTTGTAATATAATAATGGTACTGAAGTTGTTTAGATGTAAAAAAAAAAAAACCAGGAGTAAAATTTTCCAAATCACCGGCATTTATTTGAAAACTTGAGAGTAGTGAAAGCCAAAGGCTTAGAAAGAAAGCCAAACAAAAATGTAGTATGGATAGAAGAGAACCTTTGCAGCTCATGGTTGAACTATTGGGGTCCTTGGTGCTTCTGAGCTTGGCTGTTGATTTTCCAGATGTTTTATTACCAAACTAATTACCAAACATTACCAAAGTTTTCTTTCAGACATTTCATTACTAGTTTGGTAATGAAACGTCTGCAAAAAACCAAAAAACCAACCAAGCTCAGACACACCAAGGACTCCATAAATATGTGGTGGGATTGTTTTTCCAGTTCATTATTTTATTTGAACAAATATCATTTTGAAAGGACCGAACAGGATTTCCACAAATGGCCTTTGCTATTGAAGGGGAAGAAAAAGGAAGAAGAGGCTAAATTATTTTCACGTTTTAGCAAACAGTTAAAAGAATTAAAATCTTGCCCATAATATTTTTGAAAATTATTTTGCTATCTTTTCACTCACCCATAGTTTTGCTAATCACATTGGCAGCACTTGTTAATTTCTGCCTTTGAAATGGATCATCAAGCATTTCAAGTGGTAGTTGATAGGACATCACCATCTCCTTCTGTGGGAGAAAAAAAAAACCATTTTACCGAATAAAGTGAATGTTTGAACTATTAATGTACCCCTGTTGAAGGAAAAGTCTTCATCATGGTTCAGTCCAAGCCGGGAATAAACAACATGGCGACTGCTTTAGGAAGAAGGTTGCAGTTTGTTGAAGAGGAGAGACAGACAGAAAGATGGCTCTGGCAGAAAAGAGAGTGAGCACATGTAGGGAGTGGGTTTTTATACCCTCTGGAGCCTTTTGTTTGGAGTTGTTTCTGTGGCATGAACTTTGACCTGAGTCTGACTGTGCCCTTTGGTATCTCTGTGTTAATCCTATTATGTCCTGTCTTAGAGTTTGGGTGGGGTATGTAGATTTTAGGTGTCTTTGTCTTCTTAATCTTCTAGCTTCAACCTTCCTGAATGGTTTACATTTGCATTTCTACAGAGTTGGTTTCTGCTTGGGGGAGGGAGACTTTGGACTATTAAGAAAACTGGGCATGCTTTTCTGCTTCTTTAAGATCCTTTGAGAAAATATATTTTTCTGCCCTTTTAATATTTCCTTCTCTGGGGGGGCTGATTTCCCACACCTCTTTATTGAAACATCTCTTATTGGGTGAATATAGGACAATAACGTCTTGGAAAAGATCTTAGATTAAGATCCTATTTAATAGGATACAGCTTAAAGTCTTAATTCACAATAGTTGAAAAATGTATGCTTAGTGAGATATTAATTGCCTGTAATTGTTAGGGGTATCACATTATTCCAGGCATTTTGTTCATGCAGAACTAAAGATCCTCACTACAGGTAGTCCTTGACTTATAACCATTCGTTTAGTGAATGTTTGAAGTTAAAACAATACTGAAAAACATGACTTATGACCATTTTTCACACTTGTGACTGTTGCAGCATCTCCATGGTCATGTGATCAAAATTCAGACACTTGGCAACTGGCATGTATTTGTAACAGTTGCAGTGTCCTAAGGTCATGTGATCACCTTTTGTGACTTTCTGACAAGGAAAGTCAATAGGCAAACTAGATTCACTTAACAACTGTGTTACAACATTAATAACTTCAGTGATTCACTTAAGAACTGTGGCAAGAAAAGTTGTAAAATGGGGTAAAACTCACTTAACAACTGTCTCCCTTAGCAGCAGAATTTTGGGTTCAATTGCAGTCATAAGATGAGAATTACCTGCATTCTGAAAATGAGAAAGGGAGCTAAAAGCTCTTCCACGCGACTTTATTTTCCCAGTTGCACAGAAATCAGCTTGACCTAGGATTGGGGAATATCAAACATCTTTCAATGCTGACCTCTAGCTGTCAAGAGGAGAACAAAGAACTAGAACTAAAGAGAAATTTTCTGACAGTGAGAACAATTAATCAGTGGAACGACTTCCCTCCAGAAGTTGTGGGTGCTTGCTCACAGGAAGTTTTTCAGAAGAGATTGGACAACCATTTGTCTGAAATGGTATAGGGCAGGGGTAGGCAATCTTGGCTCTTTTATGACTTGTGGACTTCAACTCCCAGAATTCCTCAGCCAGCATGATGATTGCAAAGGATACTGGGAATTGAACTCCATGCGTAAACAATGGTCTAGGCCAGGGGTAGGCAACCTTGGCTCTTTTATGACTCGTGGACTTCAACTCCCAGAATTCCTGAGCCAGCATGGCTCAGCATGGAAACCTCTTCCTTTCCCCTCAGCATGGCTGGCTCAGGAATTCTGGGAGTTGAAGTCCACGAGTCATAAAAGAGCCAAGATTGCCTACCCCTGGTACAGGGTCTCCTGCTTGAGTAGGGGGTTGGACTAGAAGACCTCCAAGTTCCCTTCCAAGTTTGTTCTTCTGTTGTTTTGAGAATCTCTTGCAGATCTTGAAGCAACAAACATCCCCTCAACCCTGTTTTAAACAAAAGGACAATAAAATTGCTAGCACTGGTAGCCTATTTCGTTTAAAAGAGAAAAAAAATCTGAATGACTGCTAGGAATGGAACTTGCAAAGCCATCATTCCTCTTTGCATTTAAAAATCCTGTATGGAGATGGAAAAAAAAAAAGCTTGCCAATTTGTTCTGCTGCCAGGTCCTTTTTTCCCAATGCCCTTAAGCATATTTGGTGATCAGAGTTAGGGAGAGAGAAATGCTTAGGATACCTATAAGCATTCAGCAGGAATAGAATCTCGGCGAGTAACAATTGCTAAACCCCACAATCCAGGGAGAAGAATAAAGTAAAAATCACAAAATCACGAAGGAAACCTCAGAGGTCTCTAGGCCAGCTCCTTACTATCCCAGATCTTTACTTGAATGATAGAACACCCACAACCCCAGGAAGGACGTTCCACTGCTCAATACAGGTAGTCCTTGACTTACAACCATTTGTTTAATGATCTGTGGGAAGTCAGCCCCCCAGAGAAGGAAATATTAAAAGGGCAGAGAAAAATATATTTCCTCAAAGGATCTTAAAGAGGCAGTTTTCTTAATGCCCAGTTTTCTTAATAGTCCCAAGTCTCCCTCCCCCAAGCAGAAACTAGCTCTATACAAATGCAGATGTAAACCATCCAGGAAGGTTGGAAGCCCCCAGCTAAAAGCCCAGGAAGACAAAGACACCTAAAATCTATATACCCCACCCAAAGTCTAAGACAGGACATAATAGGATTAACTCACAGATGCCAAAGGGACACAGGTCAAAATACATGACATAGGAAATACAAAGCTTCAAACAGGAACAGGAAATAACCTCCAAACAAAAGGCTCCAGAGGGTATAAAAACCCATTCCCTACATGTGCTCAGCCCTTTTTTCTTCCTCTTTTCTTCCAGAGCCATCTTTCTGTCTGGCTCTCCTCTTGAATAAACTGCAAACCTTCTTTCTAAAGCAGTCGCCATGTTGTTTATCCCCGGCTTGGACTGAACCATGATGAAGACTTTTCTTTCAACAGATCATTCAAAGTTATGGCAGCGCTCAAAAAAGTGACTTACAGCTGCTCCTCACCTACAACTGATCGTCTCATTCGTTACTGTAGCAGGGTCTGCAAGATCATATGATCAAAATTTGGGTGTTTGGCAATCAGCACATATTTACCGTGGGGGTCACTTGATTGCCACTTGCACCCTTACCAGGGGGCTTCCAACAAGCAATGTCAATCTAGAAGCCAATGTCAAGGTTCCGACTGATGATTCCAACGAACCAAACACAGCTAAGACATTCCAATCTCTAATGCAAAACTTTATTGAGCACACTATATCAGCACTGATGAGTAGAAAAACAGCTCTGGCTAAATTACCACCAAATTAGTATATTAAAAAGTATAGAAACTCCCTCTCCCCCCCCCCATAGTGCAAGTCACATTGCCTAATTAAGCTTCAGACAATTGTTATGAAAGAAAACCTCCGTCTCTTAATAAACAATCTTGCATGACCTTGATTCTCAGGCTTAACAGCTCCACACCTACAAATGCACATTCCATTCTTCCCCCCTTCCCTCTGGTCTGTAGGCAAGCCAAAAAACAGAAATGGCCGAAGCAGCATGACGTTTCTTCAAGCTTCACAATCAAATTCACTTATAATGAGAAGATTTGCTTAATGATCACAGGGAAAAAAAGGTCATAAAATAGGGTGTGTCTCATTTAACAACCACATCACTTAGTAACAGAAGCTTTGATTCCAATTGTGGTAATAAGTCAAGGACTACCTATAATTCTTTTGGTCAGGAAGTTCTTCCTTATTTTGAATTTAGATCTTCCTCTGTACAGCTTCCATCTATTAGTTCTTGTCCTACCTTCAGGAGCTCTGGAGAATAAATCCATCTTCCCTGTGACAAGCATTAGAAGACTGTTTTTATGTCTCCCCTTAGCCTTCTGTTCCTTTTGACCCCTTTGTAATTCTGCAGAACAATACTTTCAATATTATGTAGAAAAAGGATGCCTTTTCTAAATTTGCCACAGGTGAGCCAGAAACAAACCAGCTCAGCCAAAAAACAGCACTTGATTATACAGACACAGAGACATCCCTGATTGGAAAGAACACAGAAGTAAAGCCAATGTATTTTGGTAGTCAACACTGATGAAACTTCACTGCTTTGATGAAATAAATGAAAGGGGGAAAAAAGTAGCGTCCACAGTGGGGATCAAAACAGGCAGGATGGAAGTCATAGTATCATGATTGAAGGCCCATCTATCAGGCGAAAACAACCAAGACCATTCATACAGCAGAGTTCAAGCTAGCTACTTTATTATGTCAGATAAGACTCCAAACAATTCAGGGAGGGCTGGTCCTGGCCCTTCTTAAGGTTGTGTGCAGTGAGTCTAGGACAGTGGTGGCGAACCTATGGCACGCGTGCCAGAGGTGGCACTCGGAGCCCTCTCTGTGGGCATGCGCGCCGTCACCCCAGCCCCACCTCCCCCCATGGCCCCCTCCTCTCCAGCAGTCCCCCTGGAGGAGAGTCGCCCCCAGGCGCGGCCTGCACAGAGCAGCACAACTAAGGACATAGCCGGGCAGCAGGGACAAGACTCCGCCCTCACGCCCCATAGCGTGCAGATGATGCTACAGGGTGTGGGCACAGGGAGTGGCTGTCATGGCACTGCTGGGCTGCCTGGGCAATCTGCTACGGCAGGCCATTGAGGTGGTGTGTGGCCCTGTGGGCGGATGGAGCAGGGGGCGGGCAGGGCTGGAGCAGGCAGGGCGGGAGGCAGAGTGGGGGCGGAGGGTGGGTTTTGGGCACTCAGTCTCTAAAAGGTTCACCATCACTGGTCTAGGACTAGCTCCATGTTGGATCCCTCCATCCTGCCAGGTTGGGTGCATCTCAACATCACCTCTGCACATACAATACTGTGACCAGCATCCTGCCTCTTTTCACCTATCATGAAGATGATGGGGGAAAAATGCACAATCATAATGAAACACATTTAGAAAAAGTAATTCTACATTGTGAAGTTAAAAACCAGAAACAGAGAGTAAAATTGTAGTTGAAGTAAAATTGTGAGGTGCAAGTGGATAATGCCTTTTTTCAAGGTTTTTTTTTTTTATATTATCGATTTTTAAATCTATGAAATGAAAATACAGCACTTTGTTGGTAGCTTCTTAAAAACTTTCTATATTCACCTTGGTCATCAAATTTCAATAAGATTGATACATCTTGCACTCTGTTTATAAAGGTTATACTGATTAAACTTACAAGCTCCTTTTGATTTTTATTGGGTGGTGAATAAAACATTGTTTCATCTTCTCCATAGGTTTTGGATTTTGTGTTTTTGTGTTTCTTCTTTCTCTTAAATTTTCTTTTCCCTTTTTTATTTTCAGATTCTTCACTTGGTATTTCCAAGTGTTGATTTGATAATGCAAGGAGACTTTGTGAAACTAGTTCCTAAAACATGTAAGAGAAGTAGTAGTGATAAGTAAAAGGAATACTGGTATTGTAAAAGCTGATATGCAATGAAAGAAATAAAAATACAGACAGATGCCCCAGCAGATATATCAGTATTTGGATGATCTTAGGAGTTAAGCATTAAGCTTTGTTTTTAAAGGGAGAGTTGCGAATTATTAAGAATACCTTCTTAATTTCATTCCTCAACTATTCTGATTTTCTTCATTTGTATTGATGTTTTTATTTAATATATATTGATGCTTTATGCTGAACAATGCTCTGAAATGGATAGCTATCAATTCTGTGTACAAACTTTTAATATTTCCACCCAAAAGTTTCAGCATATTTTTTTATTGAAATATTTTGGTACTTATTTTATACAGTTGTTGATTTTATTTAATTATTTATATTTTACCTCCTTTTCCCAAATTCTGTATTCTGATATTACAAGAATAATTATATTAAATTATTTAATAAATTTGTGTAGTTGCCCATTACACATAATGACTTTGAGCAGCTTACAAACTTAAAAATACAAAGCAACAATATAACAAATTTAAAAATACAAAATAACCAAAAATATGACACGAAGAAGCCTATGGAGAATATTCTCTTAATCAAGAACATGGCAACTGCTATTAATGATGCATTTCCTTCCTATTCTCATGTCTGCAATAGATTCCTTCAGTAGTATAGAGATTTGCAGTCCTAAATGTTATTTACAAACCTTTTCTTTCCTCAGCACTTCTTTTGCTTCCTGAAGTAACATCTCCCTTGCTTTTGTCTGTGCTAGAGTTGCTTTATTTTGCTCTTCGTAGGCCATCGAGACAACAGCCAGGATTAAATTAAAAAGATAGAACGAACACAGAAAGATGATGATGAAAAAAAATATGCTGTAGGATTTTCCAGATGTTCGGATAACCTGTAAATACAAGATCAGTGAGCCTCGGTTTCTTTGAGATCCCAAAACAAATATATTAAGCCAATTGCAATAATAATAATAATAATAATAATAATAATAATAATAATAATAATAATAATAATAATAATAATAATAATAATAATAAAGTTGGAAGGGACCTTGGAGGTCATCTAGTCCAACCCCCTGCTCATGAAGTAAACCCTATACCATTTCAGACAAATGGCTGTCCAGTCTCTTCTTAAAAACTTCCAGTGTGGGAGCATTCACCACTTCTGGAGGCAGGTTGTTCCACTGGTTAATTGTTCTAACTGTCAGGAAGTTTCTCCTTAGTTCTAGGTTGCTTCTCTCCTTGATTAGTTCCTGCCTTCAGGCGCCTTGGAGAATAGCTTGACTCCCTCTTCTTTGTGGCAGCCCCTGAGATGTTGGAACACTGCTATCATATCATACCCCTAGTCCTTCTCTTCATTAAACTAGACATATCCAATTCCAGCAACCGTTCCTTATATGTTTTAGCCTCCAGTCCCCTAATCATCTTTGTTGCTCTTCTCTGCACTCTTTCTAGAGCCTCAACATCTTTTTTACATCGTGGTGACCAAAACTGGATGCAGTATTCCAAGTGTGGCCTTACCAAGGCCTTGTAAAGTGGTATTAACACTTCATGTGATCTTGATTCTATCCCTCTGTTAATGCAGCCCAGCACTGTGTTGGCCTTTTTGGCAGCTGCAGCACACGGCTGGCTCATATTTAAGTGATTGTCCACTAGGACTCCGAGGTCCCTCTCTTGTAAACATTTCAAAGAACTAAATTTGTTAATTTGATGCTGTAAAGCTCATATTGCGCCTCATGGTGAAACTAATGAATTGTGGTACATAACTAAATTGGATAATGATTTTTATACTGTTGATATTAGACAATAATTTAACGCAACCCACAGCATTCAAATAGGATATGAAGCGAATGCTTTATCCCAGGAAATAATGTGTTCTTCATTCTGTTTTGCACATTTGTTATCTTTAGTTACCTGTCTGTAGAGACGTTCCCAGCTGTCCTGTGTCATCAGTCGAAATAATGAGAGGAACGCCCATCCCAAGTGATCGAAACTAGTATATCCAAAATCAGGATTCTCTTTACGCTTCACACAAACGCTGTTCAAAGGACATTCCGTTTTACTAATAATAGACCAAACATTACACTAGTGTTAGTTTTCATGTAAAAAAAGGATTTTTGCCATAACTATAGAGGTTCTCGGTCATCGAGATCACGGTTGTCCCAAAGGTGCTTTTTCAGGAGGCAACTGGACTTTCTTGTTTTTCTTTGAAGATGTTTTGCTTCTCATCCAAGAAGCTTCTTCAGCTCTGACTGGATGGTGGGGAATGGAAGGACTTATAATTTCCAAGAAGGCTCCACACCCACTTGCACCACTCAGGTGACCCTGAGGACACAGACAAACCTCCAAGTGTCTAGTTCAGTGATGGCAAATCTTTTAGAGACCGAGTGCCCAAACTGCAACCCAAAACCCACTTATTTATTGCTGGGTGCCAGGTGGGCGTGGCCCATTGGGTGGGCATGGCTTTGGTGGTCATGGCAGATTGGATGGGTGTGGACAAGGTGGGCATGATCACCTCGATGGTTGCTCATGGGGAGGGACACCTGTGGGGGCTGGGCAGGGTTGGGGGAGANCTGGCAGGTGGGGCGTTGGGCAGGAGACTCGTCCTGCTGGGTGAGGCAAGGCAAGGCAGGGCAGGGGTGCTATTGTCACAGGGCAAGGTGAGGCTGGGGTGGCTGCTGCCTGACACCATTGGCCCCTGCACACAGAGGCCAGCGAGCGCATGGGTTCTGGGATACATCCAGCCATGTGGGACCTCGGCGAGTTAGTGGGTGGCTGGTTGAAGAGGGACAGTTGCCATCTCTGGGGCATGGCATGCGTGCCCACAGAGAGGGCTCTGAGTGCCACCTCTGGCACACGTGCCATAGGTTCGCCACCACTGGTCTAGTTTAACGAAGAGAAGGATGAGGGGGGACATGATAGCAGTGTTCCAGTATCTCAGGGGCTGCCCCAAAGAAGAGGGAGTCAAGCTATTCTCCAAAGCCACTGAAGGCAGGACAAGAAGCAACGGGTGGAAACTAACCAAAGAGAGAAGCAACTTTGAACTAAGGAGAAACTTCCTGACAGTTAGAACAATTAACCAGGGGAACAACCTGCCTCCAGAAGCGGTGAATGCTCCAACACTGGAAGTTTTTAAGAAGAGACTGGACAGCCATTTGTCTGAAATGGTATAAGGTTTCCTGCCTGAGCAGGGGGTTGGACTAGATGACCTCCAAGGTCCCTTCCAACTTTATCATTATTATTATCAACGACTCTCTCAAAGAATGCAAATGACTAACTCTCGGCAAGGAATATAAATCCTTCCATTCCCCACCATCCAGTCAGAGCTGAAGAAGCTTCTTGGGTGAGAAGCAAAACATCTTCAAAGAAAAACAAGAAAGTTCAATTGGCCTCTTTACAAAGCACCTTTGGGACTGATGGACTTTGTAATACTTGAAACATGCATTTTGTAATACCGGTTAAGTGACATGGATTTTCTTGTATTTTAAATTTACTGTTTCAAATGTATTGCTAATAATTTGCCATAAGCCTTAACCTTCAAGAAAAGCCTCCCCTTTAAAAACCAGAACTGGCAGGAAAGCATTCAATACCTTCTAGATAAGAGTTTCATTTTCAGCTGTTTTCAAGCATCCACGAACAAAGAAAATATTCAAGCCCAACTTTGGGAAGCATTGAGAATGTAAATTATCCATACCCATTTTAATGTTTTTCCTTTGCAAATGTTTCTTTTAGTTTTATTCAGGGTACAATGCTTTTTGCTATTGCTATGCTCACATATTATTGGATGCTTTGATGTTGTGTTGTATTTGGACAGAAGGCTATTTCTAAACCAATCAACTTTTGCTTTGAAGTTCTTTGTTATGCTAACTATAAAAGTAAGTGTAAATTATTTTTCCAGGTTCCTCCATTTCATAGGGCAGTGGTGGCGAACCTATGGCAGGGGGGCCAGAGGCGGCACTCAGAGCCCTCTCTGTGGGCACACATGCTGTTGCCCCAGCCTTGCCTCCCCTCGTGACCCCCTCCTCACCAGCAGCCCCCCTGGAGGAGAGTCGCCCCCGAGCGTGGCCCACGCGGAGCAGCACAGCCAAGGACATGGCAGCCAGACAGCATAGACAAGACTCTGCCCTCATGCCCCATCCCACACAATTGATGCTGCAGGGCGCCAGCAGAGGGCGTGGCTGCCATGGCGCTGCTGGGCTGCCTGGGTGATCTGCGGCGGGCCCTGGAGGCGGTGAGTGGCCCTGCGGGCAGGCAGGGTAGAGGCGGGGCAGGGGGTGGAACCAGTTTTGGGGCACTCAGTCTCTAAAAGGTTCGCCATCACTGTCATAGGGAGACCCCACTTTATCAGAGTACTGTAATAAATTGCTTTAAATGATCTTCTGACTCAATTGCTTATTGTAAGTAAATGCCAGTTTTGAGGAAAAAAACATTGTATATTATGGTCACGTAATTGTGGGACATTGCAAATGTTTGCAAATATGGACCAATTACTGACTGCCCAAAATGCGATCCTGTGACCACAGGGGGGGGGAGGAGCAACATTGGAATTTCAAATCCAGTTGAAAATAGCCTGGGGAAATCTGTCATAAATTCAAGTGTCACTAAGTGACTGGTTGTAAATTGAGGACAACCTACAATAATTTTGAATGTTCGTTTTTTTACCTACTCAATATCCTTTTATTCCAAAAAAGCAAACGCCAGTTTGCTTTTGATATAAACTCTCTTTTTTTTCTTGTATGAGCTGACTTAAAACTTATAGAACAATATGTCATGGTTTTACAGCATTAAACCTCTGGCAGAGTAAAGCTCTTTTATGAGATGTCACCAGTATACTACAGCCTTTTGCAGGAATGTTGCATGCGTCTCCTTCAAATTTACTTCCCGAAACTTAAAGAATAGGCAACCAGTTTGGTTTACTGATTAAGGCACCAGGTTAGAAAGAAGGAGATGGTGAGTTCTAGTCCTGTCTTAGCCATGAAGGCCAGCTGGGTGACTTTGGGCCAGTCATTCTCTCAGTCCAAGCCACCTCATAGGGTTGTTGTTTTGGGAAAGGTCTGTTGAATATATTTGCTGTCTTAAGTTATTTGTAAAAATAATAAAGGCGGGATACAAATAAATAAATAAATAGCCTTTGCCTTCTGCTTATATAGTGGTACCTTTGGTACTCATTTTCTGGGAGGTCCAAAAATGAGGAGTACAAAATAATTTTTTCCCATAAGGAATAATATAGTGAGTCACAAGGCAGCTGACATGGACAGATTCTACTTTGCGTGTGAGTGCCAAATAAACAATGAGCACCGGGACAAAATTTTCATGTCAAAATGCATTGAGTACCAAATTTGATGAGTTTCAAAGCAGTTGACTACTTGTAGTCACAATTTTTCTCTCAATTGTCACCAGACAATCACATAAATTTCCTGCTCCATTAGAAGACAAGGATTAGTCCAGCTCAATTTGCTGTCTGAAACAAGAGATAAATGATTGCCCTTTAAGAACCCAATTGCAAGCATACTCTTGTACCTGAGGAGAAGAGAAAAAGCTTAGGAAGGCCATGACAGGCTGATCTCTCAATTCTCCAACAGCCTCTCAGGCACTTGAAGATCTCCTTTGGTCTCACGGCCACACTGGCTCTCAGTGAGCCAGTTCATCCTTACCTCAAAGTTAAAAAGGCCCAGCATTTTAAGAGTATTCCTCCTTTTAAAACAGACACAAGGCCCGGGGCCCGATGTCAAACACAAGGCCCGGGGGCCGGATGTGGCCCGCAAAGTGGTTTCATGTGGCTCGCGAAGCCATCCTGGAAACAGTGAGGGAACGGCCCCTGCTGTCTTGGCCCTGGCCCAGGCCGGCCGGGAGCCAATGTGCAATTTTGTGGTGGCCATCTATGCTGAAACGCATTCAGTCTTAGCTCCACAAGGCCGTCTGGAAACAGCGAGGAACCGGCCCCTGCCGCGTCGGCCCTGCCCCCTGGGTGCCTGCTGGGGAGGTGTCACCCTTTGTGAGGAATGAAGAAATGGACCATGCCTTGGCGCTTGCCCCGGTCCCACCCCCTTCTGCCAGAGACCCTCAGATCTGTCCCACTCCTGCCCAGGCCCCCACAGGCACCCTTGACGCGAACGATGTAGAGCTGGCCATGCCCACCCAGTAGGCCACACCCACTCCATCCACGCCCACCCAGTAGGCTGGCCGCCCCCCGCACCCCCGAGGGCAACCACAATGCTGATGCGGCCCTCAATGAAATTGAGTCTGACACCCCTGTTTTAAAAGAAGGAAAATTACATGGAATCTTGCCCTCATCCATTACTGTAGCCTCAATTATTCTGAAAACAATTCTATTTTACAGTTAAAATGTTTTGAGAAAAAAAGTACGTACTTAGGATCTGGGCTAAATCCACATAGCAATGGCTTAGAAGGACCACTGGAACAGTTGCCATAATTTTCTGGAGAGAAAAAGGGAATGATTTAAAAGATCATCCTATCCTGATATGCATAGCTAAAACCATCCATCAGATAACTTCGGTATAAAGAATAATTTATTAACCTGCAAATTAGCACTGGCTTAACTTTAAAAAAAAAAAAATCCTGGGGTTGGGTTGATAGGGTAAGAGAGAAGAAAGAACAATAGGAGCCAGAAAAACAAAAGGCAAGATAAGAGGAAAATCTCCAAATAATATAATTGGAAGCATTTCTGGAAAAAAAACCCAGACTATATCTGATAGTATTTCAGAAAACTGCTCTTCTCAAAAGAAAAAAAAATATTTATCATAGATTCACAAAAGAAATGGCAGTCTTTTACATGAAATAGGAACATGCAGGTAAGAGGAGCTATAACTTCCCCTTATCTGTGTTTCATTTGTGGATAACTTTATCACATATGTCCCCAAACTCAATTCCAGAAGTGTTTCATAAGAAAAATGCAATAATATGATAAAGCAAAGAGCTATTGGAAAATGATACATAGTTGGTTAGAAAAGATACTGGGAAAACATGTAGATTTTAAACCTGAACTCTTCTTACTAGGTATAATGCCAGAAAAGATTAACAAACAAAGCCTATATTTGATTGTACACGTCACAACAGCTGCAAGAATAATGTTTGCGTAATATTGGAAAAATGAAGAAATACCACCAGAGGAAGAAATAATTAAAAAAATACTGGAATGTGCAGAGATGGACAGGTTGACTATGAGATTGAAAGAAAAAGAAGAAACAGAATATTATCAAACTTGGGACTTATTTTATCAATGGCTAGAGCAGTGGTGGCGAACCTTTTAGAGACCGAGTGCCCAAACTGCACCCCCAAACCCACTTATTTATCGCCAGGTGCCAGGTGGGCGTGGCCCACTGGGTGGGCGTGGCTGTGGTGGTCATGGCAGACTGGGTGGGTGTGGCCAAGGTGGGTGTGATCACCTTGATGTTGCTCATGGGGAGGGACACCTGTGGGGACCGGGCAGGGTTGGGGGAGATCCAGGGGGTCTCTGGCAGGTGAGGCAGTGGGCAGGAGGCTCGTCCTGCGGGGTGAGGCAAGGCAAGGGGAGGCAGGGCGGGGGTGCCATTGTCACAGGGCAAGGCGAGGCAGGGGCCGGGGCAGCTGCCTAACACCATCGGCCCCCGCACACAGAGGCCAGCGAGTGCATGGATGCTGGGATGCATCCGGCCACGTGGGACCTCGGCGAGTTAGCGGGCAGCTGGTTGAAGAGGGACGGTTGCCATTTCCGGGGCATGACACGCGTGCCAACAGAGAGAGCTCTGAGTGCCGTGTCTGGCATGCGTGCCATAGGTTCGCCACCACTGGGCTAGAGGAAAGAATGAAGGACTAGGAATTAAATATGTATTAGCGTTTTTTAAACCCAGGTAGCACGTTTTACATTTCTTAATTTGCAACACTTTTTGTTGCAAATGGTTCACAAATAAATGGTGTTAATACAGTTATTAATACAATAAATGGTTTAAAACAGGTATGACACAGAGCTTACCAAAAGATAGGAACTTATACATTACCTGTATCCTTTAATAAACAATCAGTTTTGTTCTTGATGAGGTTTTCAGTAAGAACCAAACAGGGAACACAATTATATCTTAAGTTACCCATGAAGAGCTGAAGACCAACCAGTGCAAACACAGCCAAGAAGAAAACTGTCAGCAACATCACATTTGCAAGTTTTTTCACCGACTGAAGAAGGGAAGATATAATGACTTTCAAGCCTACAGCAGAGGAAACATCAACATTATTATATTTCTGAGTCCTATAATCTTCTAGGATTGGAAACGGACACCTAATATCATTAAAAAGGTACAACAAAGAATGTTATTCATGAGCATTCCCGAACTCAGAAAGTTCAGAATAGAATAGGAGCTGTTGATAAAATTCTACAGAGGAATTATTGAGTCCGTCATTTGTACTTTTATAACTGTCTGTACAGCAACCAAACAGGACAGGTACAGACTTCAACAGATAGTTAGGGCTGCAGAAAAAACAACCACAACCAGCCTGCCTTCCACTGAGGATCGTTATATTGCACAAACCAGAAAGAGGGCTGAGAAAATATCTACAGACCCCTTACATCCTGGACATAAAGTGTTTCAACTTCTTCCCTCATGACAATGCTATAGAGCATTGCATGCCAAAAGCAGCTAGACACAAAGACATTTTTGTGTGTGTCCGTTTGTGCCATCTCTCTGCTCAACACCTGATTCCCACAGTTTAAGTCTTATGTCTAAGTATATTTACCCCTGTAGTATGGCTGTATTACTATTATCTTTCTCATCTGTTCCACTACCTTCTCATATTGATATCATTATGATTATTATTATTTTGATATTATGATTATTACTTCATTGCTTTGCATGTACACCGGGAGCTTATTTCTTGTATGTCTATCACATGTCCAAGAAATCTATTCTATTCTATTCTATTCTATTCTATTCTATTCTATTCTATTCTATTCTATTCTGTTTTATTGCATTCCCTATTCTATCCTATCCTATCCTATTTATTCTGTTCTATTCTGTTCTATTCTGTGCTGTTTTATTCCATTCTGTTTTATTCCATTCCCTGTTCTGTCCTGTCCTGTCCTGCCCTGCCCTATTCTATTCTATTCTATTCTATTCTATTCTGTTTTATTGCATTCCCTATTCTATCCTATCCTATCCTATTTATTCTGTTCTATTCTGTTCTATTCTGTGCTGTTTTATTACATTCTGTTTTATTCCATTCCCTGTCCTGTCCTGTCCTGTCCTGTCCTGTCCTGTCCTGTCCTGCCCTATTCTATTCTATTCTATTCTATTCTATTCTATTCTATTCTATTCTATTCTGTTGTTCTGTTCTGTTCTGTTCCGTTCCGTTCCGTTCTATTCTGTTTTATTCCATTCTGTTTTATTCCATTCCCTACTCTATCCTATCCTATCCCATCCCATCCCATCCCATCCCGTTCCACTCTAGAGCATTATACTATGAGATTAAAAACTACAATAGATAAGTAAAGAAAACTAAAATCCTTACTCATTCACGAAGCTGCATAGAGAACCTGTGTGTGTGTGTATTTCTGTGTCTCTGTGTGTCTGTGTGTACAATAAATAAATAAATAAAGTATCCGCTTTTTTATGTCCTTCACAGCACCGTTTGAGAACAAAATGGGAAATGGAAAAGAATCAGATATTACCTTTAACTTATGGAGGAAAAGTGGTATATTAATGTTACTGATAAAACAATAATAAATAAATAATATCCTTAGAAAAGTGATCTGTACATCTTGAAAGTCCGGTTCAGAATTATGGTAATACTGGGAAAATATTGGGAACACTGGTAAAGGGGAGGGGCACCTCTGAATGTAACTGGAGCATAGCATCCACGGTATGCACAGGTGGTCCTCAACTTACAACCAGTTGTTTAACAGCAAAAAATGCCGACTCGTGAAAGTGGATTTAGACTTACAACCATGAGATTTGCTTCTGTGGTGCCTCAACTTACAATCATAACAATGTACAACCAGAATTCCAGTCCCAACTGTGGTTATAAGTCGAGGACTACCTATATATTAGTTTTCTTGTTAAGATTCAGATTTGAGTTAGCTCTCTTTAACCTCCTGGTGCCTCTTTAAAGTCCATTTAAGCATGATTTGTTTTGGACCCTTGAATTCATACTAATTCTTTTTTTTTCACGGCATAATAAGGGCTCCTTGATTATCATTGCCAAGATTTGAAATTGGGGGTTAAATTCCAGGTTTCCCAGAACAACAGAAATTTTATCAGGTAGAAATACAGCAGGTTAGCTGTGTATTAAAGTGGACCAGTTCATTTTTTCAGAAAGTTTTATGATTATTTTGATATATGTTCCTGTAACGCAGTATTTAAATCCTTAACAGACAGGCAGTTTCTAAATTTTGAATATAAGCAATAAAAAGTGCTACTTACCTGGAATTACAGAAACTGCTTTTAAAGTTCTCAGTATCCTGAAAATTCGGAGAGCTGAAATGCTGCCAAATTTTTGATTGAAAGCTACATATCTGCATAAAGATACAACTAATATTGTAATATAATACTTTGGCAGAGTTGCTATGAGCTGAATAGCATAGAAATTTAATAAATCATTATGGCAGGTTGCAAAGTCCATCAAATGATTAGATTAAATTTGGCACATTTATCCACCTATTAAGTCCTTCCCAAGGACCCTGAGATAGGCAGATGTTTTCCAGTTATATGTACATTCCTGTCAGCATCATCCTATCGGCTACTGAAATGTGTGAATTTGGATCACAAAGACCACAAGGGCTAATTTCCAAAGGTCCTCACTGCAATTGCTTTGGTGGCAGAATCTGAGAATAACTTTGGCAGCTGATGTTAGTCCACTCAGACAAGGTTGGACTGGGTGAATGTATGAAAATACTCAGGGCAGAAAAGTTGCAAATGCTCCTATTAAATGAGAGGGGAAATTGTAGCTCTTTGTTGTATTGTATAGTTTGGTCTATTGGTTAAAACACCAGGCTAGAAACTGGGAGACAGTGAATTCTAGTCCCGCCTTAGGCATGAAAACCAGTTGGGTGACTTTGGGTCAATTTGCAGGGGACTGTGAGTTTTAGTTCTGCCTTAAGCATGATAGCTAGCTGGGTGACTTGGGGCCAGTCCCCCTCTCTCAACCAATCTACCTCACAGGATTGTTGTTGTGGGGAGGGGAAAGGAAGAGGAAAGTATGTTGGATATATTCACTCACTTGAGTTACTTAATAAGGGTGGGTTATAAATAATAAACAAGTAAATGGAAGCAGAATGCTCCAGGGTCGACTTCTAGCTGGAAGGAAAGTGATTGAAGACTTTGTAAACAAGTCACGACAAAGAAGACATTAAAGTATAAACAATGCTGATGGATAATTAACCTGTGAAATTCAATACACAAGATGGGGTGTATAATGGTAATTAATTTGGTTGGCTTTAAAAAAGAACAGGTCTATCAAGTTCTCTTGGCCTTGAAGACTCAAGTACAGGTAGTCCTTGACTTACAACAGTTCATTTGGTGACTGTTCAAAGTTACAATGGCATTGAAAAAAGGGACTTATGGACATTTTTCACACTTATGACTGTTGCAGCATCCCCATGGTCATGTGATCAAAACTCAGGTGCTTGGCAACGGGTTCATATTTATGATGGCTATAGTGTTCTGGATACAGGTGATCACCTTTTGCGACCTTCTGACAAGCAAAGTCAATGGGAAAGCCAGTTTCACTTCACAACCGTGTTCTTGACTTAACAACTACATTGATTCACTTAAAAACTGTAGTCAGGAAAGGTTGTAAAATGGGGCAAAAGTCACTTGTCTTCATTAAAAACAGAAATTTTGGGCTCAGTTATGGTTGTAAGTTTGGGCTCAGTTGTGGTTGTATTATCCAGCTGGAGACAGCGTGACTCCAAACACCCAGTTGCAGGAGAATAAGGGTAGGTCTCCAGGTCCTGCTTATGAACACCTCAGAGGCTTCTGGTTGGCCATTGTAATAAACATTTTTTTGATTTAGAACCTGCCACCCTCAAAATGCTCAATGTTGGACTAAGATGGGCCTTAGACCCAGCTGGCTTTCATGCCTAAGGCAGGACAGTTAATTTCTTCCCCAGTACCTTAATCACAGGACCAAACGGACTCTTCATTCCCATTTCCCCAGCAATAAATCTCCATTCATTAACAAATCTCAATGGATCCCTGAGTCACTTTTGTTTCTCTTTACAGGGAGTCCTTGAGTTACAACCCTTCGTTTAGTGACCTTTCAAAGACATTGAAAAAGTGACATGGCCATTATTTACACTTATGATCATTGCAGCATGCCCATGGGTGTGATCAAAATTCAGATGCTTGACAACTGGTTCATATTTATGATGGTTGCCATGTGTTGGGGGGTCATGTGATCCCATTTTGCAACCTTCTGACAAGCAAAGTCAATGGGGAAAACAGATTCACTTAACAACCGTGTCACTAACTTAAGAACTGCAATGATTCACTTAACAACTGTGGCGAGAAAGGTTGTAAAATGGGGCAAAACTCACTTAATGACTGTCTCACTTAGCATCAGAAATGGGCTCAGTTGTCGAGGACTATCTGTATTTCCTTCTATTTCAATGGTAAGGAATTATAGGTAATTTTTTTATAGGGGAGCTGGAGAAGTTAGAGACAAAATATATTGTTTAATCTTATTATTCTGATGTTCTTATTTCATACCATTAACATCTGTCTCTTGTCTATGTTTTGCCTTCTCAAATAAAATCCAGAGATAGAAGTTTTAAGAGCACTTGTGAGATAAGTAACCATATAAATAGAATAAATAAAGCAAATAAAGCTACTTATTTCCAAAAAGGTAGGCTGATTACTACATGCTTAAGTAACCCCTAGACCAGAAACTCCCTCTCACTAAAAATTAAGGAGAGTTTGAGCTTATCTATCTCTAAAGGGGTTTCAACAAGCCAAGAAATACCCAAACTTACGTCATAATTAAAACAAAGAAGTCCAAAACATTCCAAGGATCTCGCAGATAAGTGAATTCATTACAAACAAATCCTCGTGCTACCACTTTGATTACGAACTCCGCTGTATAAATGCTTGTGAAAATAATTCTGAAAAGGAAAGCAGTAAAAAAAAAAAAGCCATTAGAAATAGAAAAAAAAGGATATTCAGCTTATAATATTGAATATTTCAGTATTGCTATTGGGAGCAGGAAGTGAGGGTGGTCTTTGAGTATCTGTTTTCAGTAACAAGGAGCGTCTCTGATTAATGTTTCTTGTTCTTTGAAATAACAAAGCAAAAATATGGTTTCTGGTAAGTATTGGTTCAGACCAGCCAGAGGTCTGTGCAAAAGCGTGAACTTTAATCACCTGAAAACTCACTGTGGGAAACACACCTTATGAATATGCAGTTGGTCATTAACAAGATCATGCTAAGAATCAGGGGATGCTATGAACAGTTACATGCTACATACATAGTTACTGAGCATGTTAATTAGATGCTTGATGACTCAAATGATGCTGGCCAACTGGAGAACACAATCCAAATCCAATATGCTTGAACTGTTTATAAAGCAATTTTTTTCTCTTTTAAGGAGCCTTTAATCTTGTATCCCCGGGAGACCTGCCTTTTATTTATGCATAAATAGATATTAATCTACCTTTCTGGTTCAGATCCTATTTGGGCAAAAGCCTATTGGGTTAAGAAACTTGCCGTGGTTTACGGCTTACATTACTCATTGCAAAATATTTGCCTAATCCTCAAAGAGGGGAAACGTTCCCCAAAAGAACAGAATGTAGAATTAGCTGGGGAATGAAGACTTTTACCATGAAAACAATACTAAGAACTCTCAGCAATTGATGTGTTTAGTGACTGCAAACAAACTACTTTTTGCTACTTTTAACCCAAAATATCATGTCATTTTATAAAAATGGAACTACAATTCCAAGCAGGACTGTTTTCATTGCGGCCTCCATATAGCTGTCTGCAGTTCTGCAACTCAGATTTGGTAGCCCTACCAAAATAAAATCCAAACAAAGTATGGTCTCAAGATCTCTAGAGTTCCCCAAGATCACTTCAGGGGGTTTGCAAAGAGAAATAAATATATGAATTTTTTTTTCAGAATAACAAGAGTTGGACGGGAGCTTGGAGGTCTTCTAGTCCAACCCCCCATACTATTACAGACAAATGGTTATCCAATCTCTTCTTTAAAACCTCCAGTGTTGGAGCACCCACAACTTCTACAGACAAGTCGTTCCATTGATTAATTGTTCTCCTAGATAGGAAATTTCTTCCTAGTTCTAGATTAGATCTTTCCTTGATTAGTCTCCATCCATTGCTTCTTGTCCTAAAGGCAGGACAAGAAGCAATTTTTGTTTTCCATTATAGTTTCAATTACAGCAAGCATCTGTGGGAAGTCAGCCCCTCAGAAAAGGAAATATTAAAAGGGCAGAAAAATATATTTCCTCAGAGGATCTTAAAGAGGCAGAAAAGCATGCCCAGTTTTTGTTAATATCCCCAAGTCTCCCTCTCCCAAACAGAAACCAGTTTTGTAGAAATGTAGATGTGGTAATCCATTCAGGAAGGTTGGAGCCCTCCAGCTAGAAGATTAAGAAGACAAAGACACCTAAAATCTACATACCCCACCCAAACTCTAAGACAGGAGATAATAGGATTAACCCACAGATGCCAAAGGGGCACAGGTCAAAATACATGACACAGGAAATACAAAGCCTCAAACAGGAACAGGAAACAACCTCAAGAGCCCCAGAGGGTATAAAAACCCACTCCCTACATGTACTCTTCTCCCTTTTCTTCCAGAGCCATCTTTCTGTCTGGCTCTCCTCTTCAATAAACTGTAACCTTCTTTCTAAAGCAGTCACCATGTTGTTTATTCCCGGCTTGGACTGAACTATGACCAAGACTTTTCCTTCAACACATCGATAGATATAACCTATATAAAGCAAAGTTCCTGGGGACCCTCAGTCCTTTTTAAGAATCCTGAAACCCAAATGTTTGAGAACCACTGCTGAATGATAACATTACAAAGTAAGATGGTGTGAAAATTTCTTATTATTAACCTTCTCCAATCTGAAGCACATTGCTTGCTGAATGAGTTCAAAATAAGACCCACCGGTGAGATATGACTCTCATTTTACAGTTTACCTAATTAAACTGGCAGAGGGTGCTTAAATCTGATAAAGATACAACAAAGTCCATAAAGTTATTAGAAAGAATCTGGTTGGATGAGAAGCAAAACGTTTTCAAAGAAAAAAAAACCCAAGAAAGTCCTGTTGTTTTTGAAAAGGACCTTTGGGGCAACCATGACTTGGATGGTTGAGGATCTCTATAGACAGAAAAAAAATATGCTTAGTTCACTTAGTAGGAAATAGCTGATGGGCTAGCAGAGTATCAGAGTCACCTTATCTTTGTGATTAGTGTATATAAATATAATAAATAAAAATCAGGGATGTGAGGCGGTCAAAGGTCATGATTGCATAAATAAATCCCAAGTTCTTTTCAACATGTGTACATACACAGTGCATGCCAGTGGGATATGAGGCTTTGATTGTCCAAATCCTGATGACAACTTGACTTTTATGATTCACCCCATGGATACCCAAGAGGAATAGTGTGATTAAAGAAAGACTTTTCAGAATGCTTTAGAAGCAGCAAGCAAGGAATTACAAATGATTCTGAATATTCTTCGGACAGTCAAGAACCATCATTAAATAAAGTTTCATCCAGGTAGTTTGAGGCAGGAGGAAGCTGCATGTTCCAGATCAAAATCAGAGGGTTTTTTCCATCAGCAAGGAAAAAAGTTAAAATAACTTCTCAAAGACATTTAATAGAGAATCAAGAAGAACATAACAGGGGCTGCAGAAGCTCTGATTGAAAAAGATTCTGGCAAAAGTTCAGTCAGCTTGCTGGAAACATATTAAGGTGAGTATCTGCTATGCTATCTTGAATTCCTAGCCTTCAGAATTTGGACTGTTTTTGATTTAGCACTGCTGCTTGTGTTATGTTGCTGTGTCAAGTCCATTAGTTCCATTAATTATTGCTTGTGGGGGGGGGGGGCGGAAATATGAAAGTTTAGAATATACTTACTCAGTAGTGTTGCCATCAGTTGGAGGACTGTTTAAAGCCATAAAAACACAGTTGACAAGAACAACACATGTTATAAATGCAATAAACAAAGTAAACAATGTTAAGGAAATTGTCTTTCTTTGAAGAAGAAAAAATACATTTGTATGTTCAATTATCTGTTAATATGGTAAAAAGTGGTTGTTTTACAACTGTATTCTTAAATTAAAGGAAGCATTTCAAAAAATAGGGCAATGCAGTTATTCTACTTAATCCTCCACTGTTATGACCCTCAGTCAGTGGTGGGATTCAGCCAGTTCGCACCATTTCGGAAGAACCGGTAGCTAATTTTGTTGTTGCCCAGGCCCAGAATGGACTTCTGGAAGAGGCATCCACACAGAGAACCGGTTGTTTACCTATTTGAATCCCACCACTATCCTCAGTTCTAGTTAACATTGATCCAAGCAGAGTTCCATGTTCAGCTCTTAAGAATGAAAACAAACTTCACTCAAGCTTTCCATCTTGACTATCCTACTTGAAATAACTCTGATAGATATGCCTACCTTTTACTCAATGCTTCGATTTTGTGAGAGATTTGGGGACTATATCACAAATTTATGGTGTGAATTTATTGATATACTATATTAAGGCCAGTGCCAAAGCATCTCAAAGCACTTTCCATTTTCATCATTTTATGAATTTAATTTCCTAGGTAACTTATATAACCCAATTTTTCAACATCAAAGGTGGCTTCATTATAAACCCAACCCACCTAATTTTGATCATCATGAGAGAACTGAGGAACCCAAGTGTTTGGATTTTGTTTGGAATGAATAGAACATGTGAATCCAATCAAAAAGGAAACAAAGTTGCTGGGATCACAAAATATCTATTCCAAATTTAATAAAATCTCGTTATTACTATGACTATTGCTGACCAGCATGATGTATTATATGACTGATTTCACCATTATTGGGATTCATCAAGTATAAGTAGTCTCCCTATGCTGAAATAATTAAGGTCTGAGCATATGGAGTCCATATGAAGTCAATAGCAATTATAGGTAGTTCTCAACTTACAACCATTCATTTAGTGACTGTTAAGATTAAGATCCTCTTTAATAGAATATAGCTTAGTCTTATTCAAGCAAGTTGAAAAAAGTATGTTTAGTCATACATTAATTGCCCCAGAGGTAACAAATTACTACAGGTGTTTTGTCACACAGAACTAAAGGTTGAATACCAAGGGCCTTGATTTAAACAACCATTCGTTTAATGAATCTTTGACATTACAACAGCACTGAAAAAAGTGACTTATCATTTTTCACACTTAACAACCATTGCATCTTCCCCATGGTCATGTGATCAAAATGGCAACTGACTTGCATTTAGGATGGTTGCAGTGTCCTGGGGTCACCTTTTGTGATCTTTTGACAAGCAAAGTCAATAGGGAAGCCAGATTCGCTTAACAACCATGTTACTAACTTAACAACTGCAGTGATTCACTTAACAACTGTGACAAGAAAGGTAGCAAAATGGGACAAAACCAGTGATGGGATTCAGATATGTGAACAACTGGTTCTCTGTGTGGATTCCGCTTCCGGAAGTCCATTCTGGGCCTGGGCAACCAAAAATTAGCTACCTGTTCTGCCGAAGTGGTGCAAACCGGCTGAATCCCACCACTAGACAAAACTCACTTAACAACTGTCTCATTTAGCAACAACAATTTTGGGTCAATTGTTGTAAATTGAGGACTACCTATGTAATATTTGGTAGATACATACCCCGAACTAGACTGTTGTTTCTCTGTGTTATAATATATGTGGGTATATGCATAATTCTGTATTTATTTATTTAGTTTTGTCATATGTATATCAGAGGTGGTGACCCTTTGAGCGCTGAATGCAACGAAATTTCATTTTAATGTATGCCGATTAGTATACATTTAAAGTGACAATAAAGTTATTCTATTCTATTCTATTCTATTCTATTCTATTCTATTCTATTCTATTCTATTCTATATTCTATTCTAGATATTAAGCCCCCTTTCAGCAAGGAAGTAAGAGGCCTCTATTATGAGACTCAATTACTCTCCAGTCTAAGAGCATATAAAAAGGGAAGAAAGCCACTGTATCACCTAAAAATACAATTGTCTTCACATATCACGCTAGATTCAAACCAATAAACAATGGCATATCATGAGTGTCTCATAAAATGATGGAACAGTGGCTAGATTTCCAGGATACATTGAACTATAAACTATTTATCCTCCGTTTGTTATACTACGTGAATCCAGCCTAGACTGGTATACATATTTACTAACAACCATGGAATGAATCCCCATATTCACATTAGAAGGATATACATGTATTAAAATTTTTACGGCTAGTCTTCTTAGTGGGTGGAATGGATTAAATAAAAATAAAGATTTGGAGGCTGTAAATCGAAAGATTCTGCTTCGGGACGATAGCACCATAAATGTCTGCAAAATATAGGTAAATTCTTTGTAAATAACGCATGCCGTTTAGAAGAGATTTTAAAGAACATCTTAAATAGTATTTATTTAAATATTGTAACAACCAAACTCTCAGCTTGGAAGCCTTGTGTTGGACTAAAACTCCCAGAATTTCCAAATCTAAGGACATTGGTTTAGGACAGTGGTGGCGAACCTATGACACGGGTGCCAGAGGCGGCACTCAGAGCCCTCTCTGTGGGCCCGTGCGCCGTCGCCCCAGTCCTAGGCCTTCAGATGGGTTTTATAAAACCTTTTCGCTTTAGGCCTCCACCACTGTGTGCAAAAAAAAAAAGGTTCAATCAATCAGTCAATTTTAACTTCTTGCGGGGAAAAAAAAAAAGATCTTGCAAAGTTGGAATTGATTGATTGAACATTTTAGTCCCACCCAGTCTGCTGTTACCACCACAGCCACGCCCACCCAATGGGCCACACCCACCCAATGGGCCACACCCACCCGGCACCCGACGATGCATAAATGGGTTTTGGGTTGCAGTTTGGGCACTCAGTCTCTAAAAGGTTCACCATCACTGGTTTAGGAAGACTGAAATACTTCCACCAATATAAATTCAATGCAGTTTTGTACATTTTGACATGGAGAAATACTACATACCAATCTTAGCAACTACAGAATTATGTCTCTTATACAAAAAGTCAGCAAGTCCTATCCTATCATTGCAATAATGAGACACACAAAAAAAAACCCCAGAAAACCCTGAGGTAGGTTTTTCGCTGATGCTTACCTTAGGTAGAAAAACTAACCAATTTTGATGTTTGTGTTTCCCCATAGCAGATACCAGTTGTGGACTTGACAATTTAGATCAGTTTTTAACCCTTTTCTTCTACAAGTATTCCTTGACTTACAACCATTCATTTAATGACCATCTGAGTTTCAACAGCACTGAACAAAGTAACTTACGACTTACTATTTTCCACCTATTTTTGAATCTAATAGTCAAATTTCCCCTTGTCTCAAGATCTCCATTTAGCCCGCCGGTTAACAATTTAGGATACTCTCCAGTAAATAAAAAACCCCCAGTTTTTCAGCCTAATTCTAGCTTTCTTCTTTTGTCAAGCAGGCTTCCATACCTCCAAGGTCCCTTCCAACTTTATTATTATTATCTGCTTCCAAGCAATTTTGAATATTAAGAGACCATTCAGTTGCCAATTTTCTGAAAGAACTGGCCCATTTATAATCATTAAGTTGTCGTCCTGATGGCCCAAATCCCCATGTTTGCTCTGGTATAGTGGTCTTCAATTCATTTGGTCTTCTTCTTTCTCAGGTTTCTGAGAAAGGGATTAATCTGTTTAATATTCAGGACTTAGACTTATAAGGGAAATGAAAACTAACTATTAGGAAATAGGTTTGAATGATTGATTAGCCCAGACAATATAAATGATTGACTTGAGCCAACAAAGGATACTCTATTATTAAGGTGGTGATGTAGCAGGGTGGGAAATAGAAAACGTTTACGAAATAGAATAAAAATATATTTAAATAAGCAATATGTGCATTTTAGATATTATAATTTCTGTGAAGTGAGTTAAAGGAAATTTGGGTTACCCGAAAATCAAATACTATAGCTATTAAAGGTCAAATTGGAGTATTACAATTAAAAATTAGGTAAAACTTAATAACAAGAGATGGATTGTTTACGAAGATCTATTAAGATATGTACAAATAAAAAATGTATTGATAAATGTGAGAATGAACTTTTCACTGAGTTTGATACAACTAGAAACCTACTAGCTTAAATACAATATAGTAAATGTTAAGGGAAACAGAGAAGAAACATTTGATGATGTAACCTGAGATATGTACTAAAATTTTTGTTATTGAAGTATTGATTCACCCAACCACCACGTCGCTTTCTAAATACTCAATGTAAAATTGGAAAACCAATAAAATATTTTTTTAAAAAACAAATTATGACTTATAATCTTGGTTTTCACACTTATAATCATTGAAGTTTACCCATGGTGAGGGCAACTGGCATATATTTATGACGGTCGCAGTGTCCCGGGATCATATGATCCCCTTTTGCAAACTTCTGACAAGCAAAGTCAATGAAGAAGACAGATTCATTTAATAACCATGTTAGTAACTTAACAACAGCAGTCATGTAACAACAGTGGCAAGAAAAATCATAAAATATGTCAAAACTCACAATAACTCTCTTGCTTAGCGATGGAAATGTTGGACTCAGTTGTGGTTGTAAGTCAAGGACTACTTGTATGCCACTTTTCTGACTATAATGTCTGTGCAATTTCCAAGTGGCTGGTTTTTTGAAGACCCACCTCAAGCAATGCAGTTTTGATTTTCAAACTCGTAATTTTGTTTCTTGAAATGGGAAAGGGCAGGATATGTACCACTGGAAGCATCATTATGATGTGATATTATGATACAATTGAAAGAAGACTGGAAACGGACTATATTTTACTGTAGCTTGGGGAAAAAACTGCTGGAAATATTGTGGAGAAGCACAGATAAAGCTGTATAAGCAATAATGGACTTTTGAGCAGTTTTAGTACATCCCAATTAATCTTTATAGGTTTCTAGATTTAGTCATTTATGATTTAATTGCCTGTCCTGGATCACTTAAAGTCTAAAGCTCCCATTTTTTTTCTAGTGCTTCCTCAACTTTTTCTATAAAAAGGGCACTTTCACAACCCCAGAATTTTTACCTCCTAGTAAAAGTTTGAAGAAAATCCACAACCTTACCCATTTCTGACAATTTGGAAATTCAGAGAATTTCAAAAATTCTCAATTTTTGCTCACATTCTTTCCTTCAACTGACCCATAAGAGGGAATGGAGGACATTATCTAACAGTGCCTCAGCCTCTGAGCTACATAGATCCTGGGTTGATAAAAATCCCCTGATTTTTTTTTTATTAATTTCAAATAAAACAGAATGATTCTTACTTCACACATTTTGGTTTCCTTATTATCTGTGAAATCACAGGTTCTAATCTACAGATTAGATCAGGGGTAGTCAACCTTGGCTCTTTTATGACTCGTGGACTTCAATTCCCAGAATTCCTGAGCCAAGGTTGACTACCCCTGGATTAGATCAAGGGTACCTCTAACAGCAACTAACTACCAACAATTAGTTCCAGAGTCAATAAAATTTGTTGTTAGTTGTGAAGTCGTGTCCGACCCATCGCGACCCCATGGACAACGTTCCTCCAGGCCTTCCTATCCTCTACCATCTTCTGGAGTCCATTTAAGCTCATGCCTACTGCTTCAGTGACTCCATCCAGCCACCTCATTCTCTGTTGTCCCCTTCTTCTCTTGCCCTCAATGTTTCGTCAATAAAATACATACAGTATTTTCTACTTGAAACTCAGACACATATTTCACAATTCAACTGTATAGGACTCCTCCATTCATGAATACTGACCCATTTTATGTTTCAGCTCTTTAAAAAAAAATCTACTTTTGTGTTCCTCAAGCTTCTACTCTAACTAATCTCATAAAAGCATTTTATACCAAAAATAAGAGATTTTTTTTAAAAAAAAACCTGTATGACCTCATGATCCTTGTAATAGGGGTCAACATCCTCCAATGGTTCTCCAATCAGCCAAGGAGGGGGCTTCCCATAAAGAATAGGTAGCTTTTTTAAAACTTTCAGATCAAGCTGTGGTTGAATATTTTCTTCTTGTGTTTCATTATTGTCCTTTTCTGAGGCTTTGGCGCGATTGGCTTCTTTCTCAGCAATTCTCTTTTTAATTGCATCCAAAGATTCAGGAGTGAAACGGAGGAAATTATGGGCCGTTGAAAAAGAAAAATTTGGCATATTTCTGCACTGGGACTGCAAAAGGAGACAAACAAACATTCTGATTGTAAGAGAAATACAGCTGATAATTAGAGTCATACCATACAGATGGTTTTGTGTATCAGGGCATCAACACAATTACACAAACGGCAAGCAGTATTTGATTATTTAATTTCATCATAAAGCCATGAAAGCTATTTACTTTAAAATTTTATAGTCTGTTTTACCACTACATACTTGGTTAACCTGGTTAACTTAAATTAGTTAACTTAAATGTAACGTAAGAGATAAATAAGATAGACTTCTCTGTTCTCCCAAGAACATAGAAAAAGACATGATTAAGCTGGTCAGTTTTTAGCTGAAGCCATTATTAAAAGAAAACCAGAAATCCTGCTCATTCATGAGTTAAGCCAACTTCTGGTTTACATGGACCATAACAATCAAATATGGTCAGCCCCTTAATTATGAGGGCCAAATTAAACACTAGCTTTGCACTTAGACAGGTGTTTGTTGCCCTATTCACATATATCACAGACAACCATTTTGTTGTAGAGGTGCTAGGCTAGAAACCAGGAGACTGTGAGTTCTAGTTTCACATTATGCATTAAAGCCAGCTGGGTAACATTGGGCCAATCACCAGGAGATGGTGAATTCTAGTCAAGCTTTAGGAATGCCAGTTGATTACTTTTGGCCAATCATGCTCACCCTCAGCCCAATTACCTCACAGGGTTGTTATTGTGGGGAAAAATAGGAAGGAGGTTAGATATGTATCACCTCTATGTGGAATAAAAATCTAATAATATCTATATTTAAAGGCAATATTTTTCAAATCCTCACAGAAGAATACGTAGACATGGAGCTGGCTAGTGCCCTGAAAGTCAGCCTGCTCACCTGTTAATTAATTTTAACGTCACATTTTTAATCACTATTGCCCTATTTTAAATTTTTATATTACATTATATAGTATTTAAAATATTTAAAATATTAAAAATATTTTATATTATATTTTTTATCTTTTTAACGTTTTATTTTTACAGCATCTAGGGTCCCTCTGTCAGAGAGATAGGCAGTTTCCAAATGTGATAGATAGATAGATAGATAGATAGATAGATAGATAGATAGATAGATAGATAGATAGATAGATAGATAGATAGATAGATAGATAGATAGACAGATAGACAAATAGACAGACAGACAGACAGACAGACAGAGAGATAGAGAGATAGAGATAAGATATAGAGGTAGAATGAGAAAGACAGACAGACAGATATTTTACTTCTGTAAAGCTTATTGCCTTCCTAGTTTGCTTCATGTAATAAAGTGGAGGAGAAAAATATATGCATTAAAATCAAAGAGATAAATATAGCGAGCAAGAAGCAGAAAGGAGATGGGCAAACAAGATTGGAAATGTTTCATTTTTCTCAGAAACACATGTTAAAAAAAGCATTGATTTCAAATTCTACCTTGTTTTTAAAAAAACAGAACATTTATTTTAAAATAATATATATATGTATCTTACATATTTTTGTTTGAAATTTAAATCTTAATAACATTTGTGATCATATTTTATATAATTTTAATTACTACAGATCTTCTTACAAATGTCTATTGCCTGAATATTCATTTCAACATCAACAAAAGACAGAAATCATAAATTAAGTATTGAAGAATGTATTTTTATAACCAAGTTAATGATACTCGCTGCCTTGGGTTCTTTACAAAAATAACAAGAAATGTAAAAAATAAATTTTTAAAAAAATCGGAAAAGATGGGACAGATACATAGTGATCTTTAGAAAAGCTAGTTTTAATTATTCAGAAGTCAAACGATCACAAAAATTAGAAAGTGTGATCTGTGATCTCTCTCACACAACATAATGCTGAAAAAAACCTGTGCTTTCCTCTGCAGCTTCAAGGAACACCCAAGACCCAACCCAGAGGAAGTGGATCTTCGAAACATATTTGAAAGAATATGATACTGAAGCAAGGAGAAGACGGAAAACTGAATGTATCCAAGAACTGTAAATAAACCAGAATGTTATGCAAACTATAGAACAAAACCATAGCAATATTAACTATTTTTGTCAAACAAGAACCATACTTTTAGGGCCCAATTAGATCTATAGATTATAATATTCTAAATTCTAACTGAGACCATAAACAACCAGCAGAATTCCATCAACTATATAAAATACAGGCAAGATGCTTGAAAATACACAATAATTTTGTATTACTCTCCTACATCAAATACCCCACATAACCTTTAAAAAGATTCTTAAAATGTTACTATCAACTGTGCATATTTTATATACTTTTTTGCTTAAAAGAATTACTGAAAATACGAAGTTACTTCTCTCGTTTCGCATAATTTTACAATTTAAAGATGTTTAATGTTGTGATAAGTACATATTTCTCCTTAATAGCGTCCAGACTCACTTAATCTTATTGAAGTTTTTTTTTCCATCCAGTTAATTCTTTTCAAAGAAGAAAATACTCTGCTTTATCAGATCAAATAACAATGATGTTCCTTTCTTGTTGTTTCCTGCTCTGGAAAGTGTTGGTTCTGTGGGTTTCTGGCAGAATGGGGATGTGAGGAATCAACGCATGTTTTAAGGCTGAAAGAAACAAATGAGATTTCGGCAGATATCCCAGGAAATAAATTAATGCGAGGAAATAAATGGAGATGGTGATTATCAACTTTTAAGTAGAAATGAGTTATTTCACCACGGTAGAAGCATTGTGAAGCTAATAACACAAAAAGGTTTTCCTCATCAAAATCGAGGGAAAGGGGCAATTAGACAATATTACTTCTTGCAGTCTCTTAAATTGCAGCACTGAGTGAGCCAGCAAGTCTATTTCATATGCTTTATTTTCATGGTGACTCCTTTGATAGTAATTAAATACAGTACTGTATGTAATTCTGCCCGCTGAAATTTCCTTTCTAATATAGAGATGCAATTGGTCTAAATGCTCTAGGATAATCCGTAGTACATGATTGTCAGCTTTTAAATTGTTACCATTTCCTCTGATTTTTAATACTGATTAGAATTAGTATAATACTGAAATAATACTGAATAATACTGATTAGGCAGTATTTGATTCTAATGGTGATTAGAATCAGTATAATACTGAAATAATACTGAATAATACTGATTAGGCCAGTGGTGGCGAACCTATGGCACGGGTGCCAGAGGTGACACTCGGAGCCCTCTCTGTGGGCACACGTGCCGTTGCCCCAGCCTCGGCTCCCCCGCGACCCCCTCCTCACCAGCAGCCCCCCTGGAGGAGAGTCGCCCTCGAGCGTGGCCCACATGGAGCAGCGCAGCCAAGGACATGGCAGCCAGGCAGCGTAGACAAGACTCTGCCCTCATGCCCCATCCCACACAATTGATGCTGCGGGGTGCGGGTAGAGGACGTGGCTGCCATGTCGCTGCTGGGCTGCCTGGGCAATCTGCGGTGGGCCCTGGAGGCGGTGAGTGGCCCTGTGGGCAGGTGGGGCAGGGGATGGGGGGCAGAGCGGGGGCAGAGGGTGGAGTGGGGGCAGGGCCAGGTTTTGGGCACTCGGTCTCTAAAAGGTTCGCCATCACTGGATTAGGCAGTATTGAATGTACAGTACAGGTAGTCCTTGTCTTACGACCACAATTGAGCCCAACATTTCTGTTGTTAATGAAGACAAGTGACTTTTGCCCCATCTTTTACAAACTTTCTTGACCCAGTTGTTAAGTGAATCAATGTAGTTGTTAAGTCAGGAACATGGTTGTTAAGTGAATTTAGCTTTCCCATTGACTTGCTTGTCAGAAGTTCGCAAAAGATGATCATATGACCCCGGCAGACTGCAACTGTCATAAATATGAACCAGTTGCCAAGCATCTGAATTTTGATTATGTAACCATAGAGATACTGCAATGGTCATAAGTGAATCACTTATGATCATAAGTCACTTTTTTCACTGCTGTTGCAAGTTTGAACAGTCGCTAAACAAATAGTTTTAAGTTGAGGACTGTCTGTATATAAAAGGGTACTCAATATAGCCATGTTGAAGGAAAAGTCTTGCTCATGGTTCAGTCCAAGCCGGGAATAAACAACACAGCGACTGCTTTAGAAAGAAGGTTGCAGTTTATTGAAGAGGACAGCCAGACAGAAAGATGGCTCTGGAAGAAAAGAGAGAGAGCACATGTAGGGAGTGGGTTTTTATACCCTCTGGGGCTTTTGTTTGGAGTTGTTTCCTATTCCTGTTTGAGGCTTTGTATTTCCTGTGTCATGTATTCTGACCTGAGTCTGGTGTGCCCTTTAGCATCTGTGGGTTAATCCTATTATGTCCTGTTCTTAGACTTTGGGTGGGGTATGTAGATTTTAGATGTCTTTTTCTTCCTAAGCTTCTAGCTAGGGGCCTCCAACCTTCCTGGATTGTTTACATCTGCATTTCTACAGAGCTGGTTTCTGCTTGGGGGAGGGAGACTTGGGGCTATTAAGAAAACTGGGCATGCTTTTCTGACTCTTTAAGATCCTTTGAGGAAATATATTTTTCTGCCCTTTTAATATTTCCTTCTCTGAGGGGCTGACTTCCCACACTATTGTCCCCAAAACTTTAGTTTTCCAACTTGAGCATCAGAGAAGCTCGGAGATAACATTAGCAGACCTTAAAAACTGATCAACATTGTGGCTAGAAGAACAGTAAGAAACTGATATTAGTCAGCTGACATTGTTTAGGTACAGGTTTGGGATTAAATACTAAAAAATAAGAATGTTCAAATAGAGATGCTGCAACGGTCGTAAAGGTGGAAAATATAAGCCACTTTTTTTTCAGTGCTGTTTTACCTTTGAGCGGTCACTAAAAGAATGGTTGTAAGTCAAAGACCACCTTTATGATAATTTGAGCCTGATCATTTGGACCGTCCCACTGTGGGGAAATGTGCTGTTTCCACTGTTGATCTTAATCCTTTTTTTAATTACTTTTCTTTCCACTCATTGCAGGTGTCCTGGCTTCCCTTCAAAGAAATGAGTGACATATGTTTGGCATGT